GTGTAACAATCTGCCATTGTTATGCATATTTTTCGCAATCTGATCTTCCAAATGTTCAAAAGTTATTTGCTGAAAAAATTAAATAGTTTTGTACACATTCTAATGAAACATGCTGAAAGAATGTACGCTACATTTAAATTAAGTTGTGAAAAAAATTGTATTTTGTATGAAATAGATTTTATCGTTAATATTTATAGAAATGTAAGAAAAAAAATCTCGAAATTTAAGTAACAATTTATGCTTAAAATGAATCAGATTTTTAACTTTGAGCTTAAAACATGCTAAAATTGTTTGCTGCTATGAAACAAAGCTTTTCCTATAATCGAAAGTTGTAAGAGCCGCTACTGCCCTGTTTTGGCTAAGAGATGTGAAATCATGGAAATATTTGTTAAAAATTGCATAAGGAGTACCATGGAATAATTTTTTTTTTGAATTAGTCTGAGAATTATAAACTGTTAAACTTGTAGTGAAAAATAATGTGCAGGATGCACAGTGCAACTGTAGAACTGCAGAGTTGAAATTTATTGTTCTAAAAGGATCAGTTTTGATTATGAAGATAATACATGCTTTTTTTTTAAAAAAAATTGAATTTGTTTTAAATAGTTATATTGTGATTTTTTTTACGTTACTTTTAGTTTTGCTGTGAAAAAACTAAGACTTAGAAAATTGAAATTAGGAAGTCTTGTAAAAAAATTTTGAAGTAGTATATCCTGTAATGAAAAGAATTTGGTTATTATTTCAAGAATAATCAACAGTTAAATTTGAATTTGTAGAATTGTACGCAACTGACGTGTTGCAAGGTTTAATCTCTTTTTATAAATTAATTGCAATTTTTTTAAAATTCTAATTTGTTTGAAAGTTTGCAATTTTAAGAAATTTTTTTTTCTCTAAATAATAACTGTTTACCTAGTATTGAGGAGAAACTTATTTATCTCTCTTAAAAATTTTATTAAGCTCACATTTTACTTAATTTCGAAAGCAACAAAAAAGCTAATATAAAAAAAAAATGAGAAATGAACATTTGATGTTACCAGTTGTAAATCCTAATATTTGTATTTAAATTTTAAAAAATATTAAAGACTAGAGTGATAAAAACTGTTTCTAATTCGAACAGTTATATAATGTACAGAGGTTGGCCAAAAACATGGAAACACTTCTATACTAACTCTGACTAAACAATATTTCTTTTAGTAGCAAATGTTTTGGACGATTTTATGTGGCAAAACTGTTGACACAATTAGGAAGATCATGTTTGAAGCTTTAAGAAATGATGTCCTTTTTACCCATGCCATATTCAAACTGGTCAAAATGAGATGAAGTTAATAACTTCTTTCTAGCTTTAATACCAACAATTTTGAAATAATTCTTTAAGATTGCAATATTTATATTATCATTCTTATAATAATATTTATATTATTATAAGAATGATTATAAAATTATAATGAACTTGAAAAATTAAAAAAGCTTTTAATTCCCAGTATTATTTTGTGCGCTGCAAGTGCAGTTAAATATTTTTCAAATCCAAGTAAGCGTTCATTTTGTTGTGATTAAAATATAAAAAATTTTTTTGGGAAAAAATATGGACTTTTAAGAATAATTAATCTAAAAATATAAATAATGCTTACATTTTTCTTCATTGAAAATTTGAATTGTAACAACTTTAAAAAATAATCCTTAACTTGTTTTTAAAATAACCTTTGAATAAAAGTGATAATCATAAAATATTTTTGTTCAACTTTGTATAAACTATCAAAAAATTTTGATTTTTAAATTAAAAATCATTCATGGAACTTTTTGGATGGATTTAAAAAATGAATAACTTAAAAAAAAAAATTCCGTAGTAAAAGAAAATTACTAAAGGAGCCTGTGTCTCCCCCCTGACGCTACGCCTATGCTTGGCATAGCTGCAAAATTCTTCGACTTTAATTCATAAGTATTATGGGTATACATTTTTTATATATTTTCATATTATCTTTGTTTAAAATAATTTTACTTGCTAATTGTCTGGTCTTAAAACAAAACATTTGAATGATCTTATATTGCTTTGCATTAAAAAATTTATTTAATTGAAGTCCTCTAAGATAAACAGTATACAAAACCCATTTACCTTTATTTTTTATTGCAACAGCAACAATATGAAAAATGATATAATAAAATAAATGATAGTTCGCTTTGTTAATTTTCAGTAGATATGTTTATTTTTTGTTTGCTATTATTTAGTTTTTTTCTTCTTAAATTAAAAATTATTATTTTTATTTCTAAAATTTTACAATGGATAGTTATTTTTTGAATGATAAAACAAAGAATGAAATAATTGTGCTATCAGTTTTTATGTTTTTGGATATGAGATCTGGCAAACTTTCTTGCTATAGAGCTGTAATGGGTTAAGTCTTATAAGTAATTCAAGTTGTCAAGACCCTGTTTGGTTAGTTGATAAAGAGTTGAACAAAATCATGCAAGGGACGAAACCTCCTATTAAAATTAAAATAGTGGTGTAAAAAAGTGACATTTTTCATTTATTTATGAATGAAACAAGGTATTCTACAACTTTAAGTTTACAATTTGAGTAATAATCTTTAATTGTAAACACGATTCTAGTGTTTTTTATTTAATTAAAGAAAAAATTAAATGTTTTGTTAGCTTTATTTAATTAAAGATGTCTGATACTTAGTAAATTGGCTACCATTTTTTAAATTTCTTTGGACGGCTACTCGATCCCTGACAATGAAATTTTGCCGTGACAGTTATTGAGACAAAGAATAAGTATTTATAATTTAACAAAACTATCTTTATCTCTGCTTTCTTATATGCAGATAAAAAATTTATAAGTTTCTAATCTAACTCAGTGTTTAAGTGAACTCAGTGAATAACTTAATTTTAAGTAATTATTTTCTAGAGAACTTTAAAACATATGCAATTTAAATCGAAAATTTATACACTTCTTGTTTTAAAAAAGTAGAAAGTGTACATAAAATGTTTACATGTTTTTAAGAATTATTTTTTTAAAAATTTTTTAGTGGGCTTCAATCCCTGATAATGTAATCCTAGAATTTCTCTGTAACAATAATACAGATAAGAAATTAGTATTTGTAAATTAACAAAACTTTTTTATCTCTACATACTTATACGTAGATAAAAAATTAGCATGCTTCTAATTTTACTTGGTGTTTAAGTTAACTTAGTGAACACTTTAATTTAAAAGTAGTTATATTGTTAGAGAACATTAACCCATATGCAGTTTAAAACGAAAATTTGCTTAACTCTATTGCATGTTTAAGGAAAAGGTATACATAAATTGGTAACAATTTTAGCATTAACCCCACAGAAAAATTTACCGCTACACTGTATAAAAGGCAAGAATGTAATCTACTGCTCAATAAAAACCATTTTTTCTTCCGTTTATTTATTTATTTATTTGTAGATCCATCCTTGTGCAAATTATTGATATTGTTTAAAATTTCGAAATACAAGGAGGGGAGCTAGAACCTATATTCACACATTTCTGCGAGAGTAGAGAAGAATGTTATTTTCACATAATGGGTTGTGCTCACTGGACAGGATATTAATATTCTTTACACAGAATTCTTCCTGTATATGGTGTTATGTCCTCAACGTCAATTGTTCTGAATGTTCTATGACACTGGCCACTTCTAGACTTTGATATTGCAAGACTGTTATCTTTACTGTTTCAATTTTGTTGACTCTTTAGTGTATAACTTCTTACATTGTCTTAAATATTTTGTTTCTGAAAGGTGTTTAGTAAAATCCTGTGAAATTTTATTCAAAGCAAAAAATTCCAATTTTGTTCATTTTGAATTTTGTGTTATAAAATTTCTTCAACTGATGGAAATGAAGGAAATGATGGATTCGACTGATTCATTTAATAAAAAATAGACTGCTAATAGTTAATTTTTTATAAAATTTTAAATGTTTTGAAATAATTTAAGCGTAAGTAAGACTGCTAGCAAAAATAAAGTTATAATTAGAGTTTATAATGTTTATTCATAAAATTTTCAAAGTGAATTATGAAGAAAAAAAATTGCTTAGATAGTAAATTTGCGTTAAAAATAAACAGTAAAAATTTTATTTCAAGCTTCTTTTGAAATAAATTTGTGATTTCAATACGTATTGCCAAGTTTTTCAATATTTTTTTAAACATAGCACTAAAAGCTGAAAACTTATAGTTTCATTCAAAATATTATGCAATTCATGAATTATTGAAAAAGTAACTAATTCTTCAACAAAGAAGCTAATTATATAATCATTTAATCTTGCTAAGTATTTCGCACAAAATGATATTGAAATGAAAATTAGTAAAAAAAAAAGTTTTTTTTAAAATATTGAAGCGATATTTATATATATTTAGTACTGAGCTTACACAATAACTACTGCCTTAGAAGGTCAGTAATATCGGCATATAATAATTTAAGAGTTTAATTTTTATTCTAAAAATATTATATGTTAATTTTATTTCTTTTTATTATATTTTTTTTTTACAAAATATGGTGAAAAATTTCTTTAATCAACTTAATATTTGAAATATAGCTTGAAAACATACATATTTGACTCAAAAAATACAACTAAATGTTGAAAAGTTTTTTTTTCTCTCTGTAATTTCCTTTGAAAGTTAAAGTAAACATGTTTCATAATTGCATTTACAGTACATCTACCAATTTATCACTAGCTTTTTTGGAATATTTAGAGTAGTAGTAAGCTTTATACTTAATCATTTTATTCATATTCATTTTATACTTAATCATTTTTTAACAAGTTCAAAAAGCATTAAAGTTAAAAATTTCTAATAATTTTTCCTTTTTTTCCCACTTAAGTCTTTTTATGCATATTTGTATATTTAACTAATCAAGTCCCATCTAATTTTTATCTTTTTTACCTATTTGCTATTGGGGATTTAAATGTAATTAAAAATGTATTAAATATGATTAAAAAAATCATTAAAGGTGGTTAGTAATATTAAAGGATATTTTTTATATTTGTTTCAGATAACAGTTACTACGATAGGTTATGGTGACACTGTTCCTAAAACCTGGATGGGAAAAATAGTAGCATCATGCTTTTCTGTTTTTGCCATTTCATTTTTTGCCCTCCCAGCTGTAAGTTATGAGTTAAAGTTTTATTGAAAATGTGTATTATGAACATATTAACAAAAGAAAATATGCTTATTAATAATTATGTAAATATAATTTTGTTCTCTGTATAATCATTTTAATTGGTATTAATTAGTATTAATCATTCTAATACTAATGACAAAAATAGAAAATTGTAATAGCTGCTTCGAACCCTTCTCGGTGCTGTGGATAACATTTACAACTCTATGTTCCTTTTAGGATATCTACTTTGCTTTTTCATTTTTTCTCAGTTTCATTTTAAACATCCTGAATATAATTAAAAAGTTTTTCTTTTTTTATGATATTTTAATGTAATTGTGGTTCATTTTTTCAAGTGGTATTTCATATTTTACCTCTATATTTTTTAAATTTAAAAAAATGCTGTGCTTTTATATCAAAGAAGTTAATTGCAAACATTTAAAATAATTTGCATATGTTTTGCATAAGTTTTGTTTCAGTGGCAGACTATTTTTGAATGTGGCTACTTTAATTGCATCCATGAAATATGAGATAATTAAAAAAAGATAGTAAGGAAATAATTTTATGGAAAGTATAGAACTTTTATTTATTTATTAATTTGTGGAAGCCCTAGATTAGAATTCACTCTAAAATGTCTTCAATTTAGTTTCAGTATGAAATTCTTTTCAATGATTACATTTAATCTCTATTATATTTATATCTATATTTTAATCTGAATTATATTTTTGTTTTCAAAACATTGTTTCATAGTTTTTCCATTAAAAATGCAGCCAGTAGCCTTAAATATATTTTTTCGAATAATTTTTTATTTCCGCATCATATAATGTCTTTTTCAGTGTTATCAATAGTAATACATACTGCTTCTTTTACCTGTTACAAATTTTATAGCAATTATTTGTGTCTCTTCTACGTATAAAACTGTTAAAAAAGTGAAAAAAGTTGGATATTTTTAAAAAAAGTTTTAAATGATACAGAATTATTAACATAATTGTTACTTTTTATGAAATTGTTTCCTCATAGCACAGTTAAACAATGTACAGTATTTAACATTATATCAATCAATAAATAACTAATATTGAAAAAGATGTACTGCAAAAATACTGCCTTCAGCTTATTTTATGCTTTCATAATTATTATAATCAAAAAACCTTTTAAAACTGTTATTTTGTCAAGTAAGTGTTCTGTTCTTTAATGTACTATCTCTTTGTTAAGGCGAACAATAATATTGTATTTTTATAGCTGCAAAAATACTTTATTTAAATTTCATATCCGAAGTCTATACTTTGTGTGTTTCTGTTTCCTGATCTCTAAGAGCTATGAAACAGTTTGTTGCACTTAGAGTTATGAAACATAGTATGAAAGTTTGTATTGATTTCCCAGTATATAATAGAAGAAGCCAAATTATTTAAATAAATGATGTCTAAAATAAATTTAAAAGAAAGAGAGAACCAATATTGTTTTTATTAAAAACAGAAATAATGTTTTTGTGGTTATTCCTGATCCTTGTGACATTTCCGCTTATTGAAGCCCACAGTGTTCTGAATAAACGCTTTCAAATTTAAATTATTTTTTTCATTGCAAAGTTCCCCCTTCACCCATCAAAACAAAGCCTCTCTTCCTTAGACAATTTTTTTAAAAATATTTTGCTAAAGTTTTTTTATATAAATTTTATTTGCCCTCTCTCTATTTACCAAAATGTTTAAATCTTTAGTTCGACGAATCTAAAATAGATATGAATATGGAAAATATATCCTTTCGTCCAAAATATGAATTATTAAAAAAAATTTAATTACACCATTATGCTTTTTAAACTAAAGAAAGAAAAGAAAAAAAATTTTCTATTGCTCCGACCTTCCTCAAAATAATAACAAAACTTTCCCCCAAGGTCATGATATAATTATAATATTTATACCAAGATGATCTTGAGGTGAAAAACTAATTTGTTCTCTCTTTTGTTTAATTTTTTAAAATTTATATTGTTGGAAAAATGTAATTTATTAGATTGTATTATTCTTTTATTTCATCTTATTTGCACTTAAAATACTTAATACTATAGATTAAAAGAAATGCTGAAGAAGGCAACAGGTTCAATCTGGGGATTAATAAAAGATAAATAGGTGGAAATCAAAAGATAGGCAAAATGCAACAGGCTATACATAATTTTAACTTTTCTGATTTGCACTTTGTTTTAATACTAATCTATATAGCCATTAAGTGGTGAGTTTGTACTTATTATACTAATACTTGGATTCAGAGATATGCTACCAAAGATTGAGGATAATCTGTGTGTAACCACAGGGAGTAAGTGAAGGGGAAGGCAAAGTTGAACAGCAAACCCCTATCGTACCTTTTGTTTTGTTACTTTATTTAGGAAAGATCAAAAAACACAGTATCACTTTCAAAAATGATATTTTAAATGTCCTTAACTTTTTGGTACATTTTTTCAATACTCTTTTCATATTAAAAAATACAAGTATTCAAATTAAGGTGTAAACAATTTGATCATTTAATTAAAATTTGCTATTTAAATTGCGGTTTCAATCCCTTTATTTTTTAAAATTAACATTAATTTGATTAAAAGAAAGTAAAGTAAAAAAAGAAACAATGACCAAAACAATAATGGTTTTAGAAATATGTTGGGTAGTAAAAGCAAAAATAAAACTTCCCCAAAGAAATAAATAATTTTAAAATTTTATACAGGGTCTATCATATGTTTCAAACTTACAAATTAAAAGAAAAAAATTTTTAAGCTATATAAAGCAAAACTAAGTGATAAACAAACCTAACAGGTGAATGTTATGTGCCTTTCTTATATCTTTAATTACTTCTCGCTTCTAATCACTTCTCAAAATTTACTTGCTTCACTTTTTGTTGCTTCTCTTTTATTATTCTTTGAAAACCTCGAAAATTAATAAAGCTATAAATTTAGCACTAATCTGAATATTATAACTGAGCTTTATAACTTTAAAGCCGCATCCATTCAACTGACTGAAAAAATTTAATTAAAAATAAACATATTTTAGAATTTTTTTAAAAAATGATTAAACTTACTCTTTTAAAGTAAAAGCAGTATTAAGTTTAATAAAGTATGTAATAGAAAAGTTTCAAAATGGCATTGTAAAATCTAATCTTGTTCAGTTCGAAAAGCAATAATTTTGTTTCCAGCTCATTGTGCTAGTAAACCTTTTATTCCTTTAAATATTATACTTTTTTCTGAAATTACAGTTTTAGTTTATGTATGAATTTTCAAAACACGCTCTTTTTAATTGTGTAATTACAATAGTTGTGGTGTTTATTTATATTATGGTAAGTTTAAAGACTTGTGTTTTAATGTAGGGAATTCTGGGATCTGGCTTTGCCTTAAAAGTTCAACAGAAGCAACGTCAAAAGCATTTTAATCGTCAAATACCTGCTGCAGCTACCTTGATACAGGTACTTATTTACTTTTACTGCTTTTTTAAACTTGTCAGAATGTTACAAAATTATTTAGATTTGAAAAGTGTAATCAACTATGCCCCTATCTTATCAATAGTAGTCATAGGATTTCTGTTCTTATATTCAATTAAACAAGAAATTTAGAAGCGGTTTAAAGAAAAATGGGAAAACAACTACATCAAGCTGGGCTATTTTCATGCAAAATATTTAGTTAGAGAAATCCATGGGCTTGAGAGTTTTTATGGAATAGGATTTTTTTCTTTTGATAGTTTCTTTTGTTTAATCTTTTTTTTTTCAAATAAAGACATTAATATTTTGAAGTTAAGACTTGGTTATTAGTTGATCATTTTTTAGTTATTATTTAAACTAATTATAAGCTATGTCTTTAATTTCAAGATCTAACACTTTAAAAGTCTCAAACTGTATTGTACCATAGCAGCTAAAATAAAATTATTTACATCCATATAAAGTATTATGAAAATGTATTATAGTATAAATATTTATTATATTATAAAAATGTTTTTATATAATGACCCTTGTTATCCAAGCAAATCTGAATGTTATAGCGTGAGATTGTTATATCTTGATTGCTTAAAAATGTTATTATTTTATAGTCATATGTTATAAATGTTGGCTAGTTTTGACAGAAATTTGCTATACTTAAAACAATAATTAAGAAATCAACAAAATAATTGATAATAAGGCCACTTGTTAAACCAAGCATACTTGTTAAATTACATACTTTTTTGTTAAAGAACATACATCCAGAAAACTGTCAAGTTCAAACAAAATCAAGGAGTATGTGAATGTTTTAACTCCAAAGAGGCAAACATTACACAAAATAAAGAATAAAATCTTAAAAAAAAGAAAGAAAAGTATGATTCGTAAATTTGTTAAAAAAATTCACAAAAGCCAGGAGTGGATTTTTTTATTTAAGGCATATCAGACAGGATTCAAATTTTTGTTCAATGGTGAAATATTCTGTTTTGGTTGTAAATTAAGCTAAGCAATCACTATTTCATAGTCAGTTTCTTCTGCCTATTTGGTTTTGCTGGGCTGGAATCTGCTAATATCGCGATTCTTATTTACGCGATTTTAATATCTTACATCGATTTTCGAATTTACCTGATTTAAAAGTTACTTGTTGCGATTTGTATTCACGTGATTTAGAAAGTGTACATGGCGATTCTTATTTACAGGATTTAAATATCCAGTATTCCAGTTTGTATTTATACGTTTTTAAAATACAGTGTAACGGTTGGTATTCATGTGGTTGTAATATTAAATAGTGATTTTTGTATTTAGATGTGATTTAAAAACTTTGTATTAGGATTCACATTCACGCGATCTAAAAATTATGCATCGTGATTCGCATTTAGGTGATTTAAAAATTCAATATTGCAATTTGTATTTTCACGTTTTTAAAATCCAGTATAGCGATTCATATTCTCTGGTAACTATTAAGAACTGAACTTTGATAAAAATTTCCTATGCAAAGCCAAATCAGCTTCTTATGTTGGAAATATGAATGTGTAAAATTTCTGTAAAACAAAGCTAATTACTTAGAATTATGAAAATTATTTTGATGTTGAGTGCTTATATTTTAAGCAATTATGAGTAATGATTTCAAAAATATTTGTTGGATTAAGATTTATATACATATTTTTACTTCGCTAAATATAAGTGCTTATATTATTTCCAATTTTGAATTTCTCTTTGATTTACGTGATTATGCATGCTGTATCAAAACTGTACACGTAGCTCAAAAATTTTCTCTAGTAAAATCTCTAATATTTTATTTCTCCAAGTTGGCAGGTATGTGTTAGCCTATTTGTAGGACCATTTTTGTTATCTTGGATTAAGTTTTGAATTCAACTGAACATATTGCAATTAAGCCCAACTAAGAAATCAATGTAGCTGTTTTTCCAACATAAAAAACTAGTTTTGCACCATATTACATTGCTTCAAAACTATTCAATGAATAACTCATGCAAAGAATGAAAAACTTGGTAATGTTTCGTTGATCAACAATATCAAATTTACCAATCTACAGAAGTCACTAACCATTCTTAAATTTGGGGCTACTTTATTTGTACCTGCATGCATGGTCAGTTACCAGAGAGCAAAGTTATTGAATGCAGAATCATACCACAGCTTTATGCCATACATCAGAATTTGTATACATTTTTAAACTATAAGATAATCATAATAGTTTACTTTTGTCAAACTGTGTTGGCACTGACATTATGTAACTCACATGTAAGTTTAAATAGAGCTGTCACTCGTACTATAATGCTGATTGCTGCTGCTTTTTCTGCTGATTTGTGTTTTTCTCTGTGATTGTCTTGCATCCATTGTCATGTTTAGTTATTGAGTTATATTCCGTTGTTCATCGTGTGTTTATGTACTGTATCCTATTTTTCTCATTAAAACTTGTTTAAGTCATTGCTAGTGTTGAAGTTTTAATTTTAATACAGTTATCAACGAATTCTAGCAGATGTAACCTTGCCTTCTTCTTGTAGTCAGTGCAATGTCCTCAGGATATTTTGCTTTATTCTCGCAATTTACTTTTTTTTTGGAAGAAACATGTTGCAGGACAGTGAATCTATTTACAGTAGATGCATTACCATTTCCAGCAGTGTTTACAGCTCATAGATTTGAAAAAATTGTTTATGTTATTGTATTGTTTGTTATAAACAATTTCCTTTTGCTCTGCCATATTAAATTCTTTTGTCTGTTAAATATATTTTAATTTTTAGTGCCTGTGGAGATGTTATGCTGCTGATAAATCATTCATGTCTGTTGCTACTTGGAAAATTCATATAAAAGACTCTGGTCAGGCTAACTCTTCTAATGCAAATACACCATTAAGCAAAGTATGTTACTTTCATCAAGATTGTTTTCGACTTTAAATTCTTTGTGTAAATGTTTTTAATTATATTTTTACTTTCATACTAAAGCTGCTTCTCCTTTCTCGTGAAGCATCAGATAAAGGCTTATTCCCCGGTGTTTCAAAAACTTTTCAAGAGACTTGGCAGGTAAATGTACTTATAAAATAATACTGAAAAATATAGGGTGTAATATTTTTAATGCATTATTGTTTTTTATGTTATATAAATGCATTTTATTTATATCACAGGGTGGCCACCCACCTTGAAAACCTGGAATTATCAAGGAATTTTTTTATACTGGAAAAAACCTAGAAAAATCAGGGAAATTTGGACAGAAAGCTGGAAAAATTGTCAGGCATTATCATTGTAAATAATTCATACTCAAATCAAATTTAGCATTTTTCATTGAATTAATACTTATGAAAGTTTCAAAGCTTTCTTTTAAAAAATTTCAGAAGCGTATATATAGTGGAATGTTGTTGAATTAGTAATGAAAAATTGTTTTCTCTCACTGTTTAAAACTTATTTCACTGAGTTGTTTGATATTCAATGCAATCAAAACTTCTTTTTTATTTGATATCATATGAAGGCTGGAAACAATATGCCTGTTTCTTATCTATTGCTTAGATAATTGGTGTATAGTGGAACCTCTAGGAAAAATACCACCTCTGTGTAACGACTTCCTGTATTTACAACCACTTTTTGGAGGCACAGAATTTTTTTCATAGACTTTGTGTTGAGGAAAATCTCATGGAGAGATCATCAAAATCTCCCCCAGCAACTGGGCAAAACTGTGCATCAAATAAAGAAAAGGTCAAATTAGGAAACAAAAGCTATCAACAAAAAAAATATTAACAAGATAAATAAGTAGATTTAAATGTATTCAAAATATTTTGTAAGGCTCTTATGTAGAGAGTTCTTTTTGACGATCTCTGAAAGAGATTTACAGCCTCATGTTGCAGTCAGAGAGCACTAAAAACGATGCAATCAATGATTTATTTTTAAACTTTAAAGCTATGTTGGAGAAGAAAAAAAATTTTAGAAAAAAACTAAACATTTCAAATAGCAAGCTTTACAGCTAACTAAATTTCATGATATAAATTAAAATCAAACTTTGAAAAAGACATAATTTTTTATTTATTTAAAATAATTCTATCTTTCATAACTGGTAAATTTGCTTTTACACATAATCTTACATCCTGATCCTTAAATGGTGATATTACCATTAGTGTAACCTTTTATAAATGAATATAAGAATTGTTTGTAATTCTGTCTTATCCTTAAAAAGTCTTTTGCCATTTTTTTTAATCTTACCTATTTTGGTATTTGTTTTCATTAGATTCTCACAATTACATTATTATAATTAGTATTATTGCTTTGAACTAGGTTGCTAAGAAAGCCAGTGTTTTAAAACGACGGAAATCCAAAAGTAAACTTGATATTCCTATAAGTACTAGTCATTCTGAACTATCTCATCATCAAAGAGAAAGTGACTATGAAATTAATGGTGAAGAACTTAAAACAGGTGAGTATATGATTAGGGTGGACTCAGAACAAGTAAATTTCAGGAAGTTTTATCAATCAGGAAAAATGAGGAAATTTTGTTAAAATACCCGCAAAATTAAGGAAGATTAATTAGTTTGAGATATCTAAAAGGAATTCAGTATTTTTTCAGAAAGAAAAGGAAAAGAAAACAGGTTTGATTTCTGAGAAATATTTTCTGATGTTCAAAGATATTTTCTGATGCCCAGGTGTAAAAGTTGATCTGTTACACTGTTAATCCACTATCTTTATTTGAAAATTGCTAATTTTGTGTGTATTAATACTTATTGGAAATGAATTTTTTATTCTGCAGACAAAAAATCAAGACTTATGTAAAATATTAAATGTAGTAATTTATGTAATCTAAAAATATTTTATTAAAAGAGTTAGAAGAAAAGACCACTATGAAACTTTTTGAGAAAATATTTTAACTTTTATATAATTCAAAAGTATGCACAGAGGAAAACATTTTTCTTAAAGTATGGATGAAATAACGTTTTCATAAATTTAAATTTCATTTTCTCAAAACCGTATTTTCAAACTCGCAGATTCAGTAGCATTTAGTTTTCTACCGATTTAATTAAAAATGTAATGTAAAATTCCTATATCCGGACATCCATTTCCCCGAAGGATTGAACCCATAATCACAGGAGGGGAGGGGGCAAGACTGCCCAACAAGTGTTGCTATTTTGGAATGCAATAAGAGAGAGAGAGATTTGTTTAAAAGAGATAGGAAAAAACTACTATTGAAATGAAAGAGGTGAGGGTAAACAAAATACCAGTTAAAATAAAATGAAATGGAAACTTAATAGATTTGAAAAGATACATGTCTTTGAGAAACATTCCTTCTTCCCCTGATCTTGTAATATTTATGGGTAGAGAAACAGGACCAATGTTTTTTCTTTACCATTGACATGAAAATGAGGATATCCACTTCCTTAATATGTTATTGTTACATCTATTTTAATATTGTGTATTTTGATTTATTTCAATAAATAATCAATTTTATGGTTTTGTATTTTTTCCCACCCTCACGGTCAGTTATGTTTTGAACTACAATAATTTACCATATTTTTCAAATTATTTTTTAAGTGATTAAATACAGCATAGCAATATTCCTACTTTATTATTTAATGAAAAGTAGTCGCATTTTAGCTGTTCTAGTACCTCAAATAAAAAACCTTTTTTGCTTCACTTTTTTTACTTCATTATATTCAGTTAGGCATAGCAATGTATTTTTTTAAATAATTTCCTTTCCACCTACTGTTTACTGATATGCATGCACAAAGCAATTCCTCCTTGTAAAGCTAGGAAAAAAACAAAATTAACATGTCATTCATTTGCGTTTTATGGTCGGCCGCTGATAGTAGGGAAAAGAAACGAATTTGTCATTTCCACTCCCTTTTCTGGCCTAAAGATTTTTTCCTCACACATCTTTATTTTCCTATACATGGGGAGAAAAAAATTTCCATGTCTCAAATCAAGGATGACTAGAATTTCTCATCTTACCTCAATAGTTCTTGTTCAGTATAGTTTAAAAAAGGATTAATGTTTTTGTCTACTTGTAATTAATTATCTTTTATTTTGAATTTTTTTGTTTTCAATATTTTGAGTAATTATATATTTTTCTTGACAGAAATTTTTTGGCAGATTTGATATCCTAATTGTTTTTTTTTCTTGTATAAGATTTCTTTTGACCTTTGTTTAGGTTGGAGATCTATTATACTGCAAAATCTTATCTTCCTTTAACAGTTTTATCTTTCTTTAAAATTTATTTCGATACAAAACAGATTTTTGAGATTTTCACTTAAAAGTTTATATTATAATGATGCTGTATTTTTCTGTTTTTTAAAAGAAATCTATTAAGGACTCAAAAACAATCTGCAGTGAATTGAGGTGAAACTATGTTGTAGTTTATGTTCATCGATTTTATTTATGTTGGTTTCTAATAACGCTTGCACCCTTTTCCAAAAAATTCCAGACTCCAATACTAAATTGTTTAAAAAGTTGTAAAATATTTTTTGAAGAAATAATTAATTTCATAAAGTTTTAAAAAATAGCTAATGTTTTTTTAATTATATTTTCCTAATTATTTAGGCTCATTTATATTCTATGCAATTTATTATTTGTAATACTATTGTCTGATGTTTCATACTGATTACCATTTTATTTCAGGATGCACTCAAAAGGCTGCAAAAAAAGATTGTAAATTTCAGTCTAGCCCTCCTAATGTGCAAAACTATCCAAGTAATAATGATATTGGTTCAGATGATGTTGAAATAGACATTGAAGATCCACCACTATTGACTGTGTATGTATTATGGGAATTATTTTTTTAAGTGTAACCATTGAGACAGTAAGTAAAAAATTAAGCAACTAAAAAACTTGTTTTTAAAAAACAGAATTTCTCAATTTGCTATTTTAAACAACTCTCAGTCTCATCTAATATTTAAAATAAATATTTCTTATCAGTATTTGGTTCTTATTTTTGACATTTGACAATAAGATACAAGTGTTTAGTGCTTTCTACTGAGTTTGTTTAAACAAATATTTTAGCTTCTCAATGATTGACATAAGAGAATAACTTTTTTGGAAAACATGCCTTTTCCTATTAGATTTCAATTCAATATCCTTAAAATAAGGAAGTAGAATAAATTAAGTATTATGCCACCAGAAAAATCAATGATAGTAAAATTGCAACTGTTATACTTATGAAATAAAATTAGGCGAATTCTTTTATAAAGCTAATCGACTCAATAATTCCATATGATAAAAATGCAATGACCATTAATTCTCATTATTTAATTTTGAAGTTTTTATTCATTAATTATAAAATTGTAAAATTTAATTTACATTTTATTTTCTCTTTGTAACAAAGTTAAAAGCTCTCTCTTACATAAAAATTTTTTGATTTTAGCTTGAAACATAAAATAGTTATTTTCTTTTTCATGAAGTTTTATATAACTCCAGAAAAAAGTCTAAACTGTTAAATATCTTGAAAAATATACTTCTGATCAAACATCTAAAAATGCATGATCAATAATTTTCAAAAAAATTATTCAATGTTGCTGAAGAAGAATCCATTTTCTTACCCTTAATTGAGTTAAGAGAGCAACTTAAAATCCTAGTTAAAGTTGCCCTCTCTATGGCAGAATGTGCTAAAAAGTGTGGCACATACCACAGAGCAAACACCTTTTCTGCAGAACAATTAAAAATATTTAAAAAAAAATTTGCAAAATATAAGAAATATCATTTCTTAAAAGAAGAAACTATTATATTCCGAGCCAGTATTTATTTCAAAGAGGTACGTTTCCAGATCATCCTATGATCTTAATGTGATATAGTATATCATAGCATCAGTGCACAATTAACTGACTAAAGGTGAAAGGAAAACTGAAAACTCACCAATCAAAGTAATTTAGAAATGTCTTCTCTTAAGAAAGTAGCTTGTTTTGAGTGCAAAACGCATATTATTTTTAAGAAACTTGAAAGGGCATTGTTAACGTTTCGTTCTGATAAATCTGTTAGGCATTGCTCAATGAATGAAAGAAGTATATTTATGATGTTCAAATCAAAGTTGTAGGAGATTAATTCGGATATGACGTTCACAAAAATATAAAGAATTAATAATGATTATCTTCATCCCAATATTGGCACTGGTATCGGCTAAAAAAATAACCAAACAATATCGCAAGAAGATGAATATAAGTTGTAAGAAGAATAAATTATTATCTACAAAGGTACTGTGAATAAATTATTATCAATAAAAAGGTAAGAAATCATTTGAAGTGCGATCTATTTCTATTATTGTCTGTAATAGTCACTATTAAATCTAATTAAATTTATAATTGTGTACTACATGCCTATATTGTCATTGGCATATGCTATTTCACTTCTTATATTTAAATTAAATTTTTAACACACTTACATAAGCTTGCTTGGAGATAAAATGCATATAATCTACAGAACATTTTCATTCACTTATATGCTAGTTTCAGAACACTACAAAATATTCTGCTATGGGGCTGCCCTTATACTTGATCATTCAAAGTAACTTTGAAATTATTATTCTTTATAAAAGGAAAGATAAGTTGAACCCGATTTTTTCCTTTATCATGTTTAGTTTTGACAATATACACAGGGAAATAAAAAGTTAAAATGTTAAGTTGCTTAATAAACTTAAACTATTTGGTATTTATTTAATAATAAAAGATGTTTTTTCAATGTATCTTTTTTTAGGCTCACAGAAGCACATAAAAATGCAGTTAGAGCGATCAGAAAGATAAAATATTTTGTTGCACGACGAAAATTTCAGGTAAACTTTCATTTTTTAATTCTTATTCTTATATATACTATTTTTTATTGTAGAAGATAAATAATTTTTTGTTAAAAAAAACCTATCAATGTAATAAATTTTTTTCTGAAACTATTTATTAAAAAGCATGCATTAACCATGCAAAAAAAAAACTGTTCAACCGATTAAGTCTGTTACTAATTGTTTTGAAAATATATATCGTTCATAGATGCACCATTGTTGGACATCTAATCAATATATTATAGTTTGATTTTGTCTGTTTATTTTTAACACACTTCTGCCATAAGTATTTGGCCATAGAGTTAGGTTTTTGTGAGACTTAAACATTCCCGCCTTTTGTAAGTTTTGATCTCTACAGTTCTACATGTCATTAGGATCTGAATATTGGGATAATTATTCTGAGCATTAGAAAATTATTTAAGATTCTCTTGTTTTATATTTTTTAAGGGAGAAGTTAAATGCTGTTAAAAATGTTTTTTTTCTTAAATGGAATCAGTCCAAGGTTTATTTTTAACAACAAGGTTTTGTTATAATCAAGCTCACTTTTCTTTTTGAACTGGATTCATAAGGACAATTCTTTATGGTGTTAAAATAAAATTTTAAATGTGAGTTCTATATCCTTGAAGAAATTTCAGAGTTCCTAGTGAGGTTTGTTTCAAATTGAAAAAAGTTTTCTATCTAGTTTGAGAACTTAAGTTAGTATTCTGTTTTTTAATGCTTTGATTGCAACATTGACTTATAATGTATTCTGTTTAAAATATATACAGTACTGTGCGAAATTTTTTTTCCCTTTTCAAAAATGAGATTTTCTTCATTAACGTGTCGATTTTCGCCACGTATTATGTAAAAGCATGCTTTTCACATTGTTCCATTCAACGTTTTCACCATCCATTTTGGCGATCAGTCCATAGCGTATGAAAGTGCCAATCATTTTACTTGTTTGATGAAAATACTTGTGATTCCGTATTTGCGTCTACAGAGCTGGGTTCGGTGATATTATTGCCTTTTCATGTGCAACTCTGCTGCATTTTGCAAGATATTCTCAATTTCAGACTTCATTTTCCACCCTCTGATATCAAACCAAAAATCTCTTGATCATTTTATAACGGCTAATATAATTAAGAAAAGAGTTCTTTGTCAGGAACTAGTTATTTTCTCATGACCATCTATAGTCTTTGAAAATTACTTTGCATTTTGTTAATGTATATAGTGCTTAAAAATATTTTTAAGTGCTTAAAAAGTTCTTAAAAGGTGCTTATTTTTTGTTGAAAGATTTGGCTACGCACCCTGTCCATCTTGCCTGGACTTTCTTCATGTAAAGAAACTTTTAAAATTGAATATATTTTTAAACAAAAAATTCAGATTTATGTATCAAACTTGTATTTAGTTGTTTAGTTTCCTTATAGCATCTTCTACAATAATAATTAAGTGCTGACGAGAATGACAAAATGTGCAAAACTTTGAAAGTCTAAATTTTGTTTATCTGCACAGTATCTCATTAATTGAAACACAGAGTTCTTTAAAGTGGTATTAGAGAACATAAAAAAATTCATAATTGCATTGTTCATGCCAGCATCTGAAACAGAAATGTGTGATTTTGCCTTAGTTTCTCATAATAAAGTACAAATCTTTAAGGTAGGTTGAGAACATAAAGAAAATCAAAAATCCCACTGGGCTTGAAAATGAAAATAAAAGAAATAAAATAAAATAATATTAAAAAAACTAGTTGTTACTGTTTAAGCCAAATTTTGTGTTTGTTAAATGAGATTTTTTTATACAATTGTTTAAATAGTATTTTATGTATTAAATGAAATTATTTAATGATAACTTTTCCTAAATCTTAAAATACTAACAAAGAAGCACTTTAAATTTTTTTATTTTTCTCAATTTTATTAATTTAATGAAAAGAGTTATTGACTCAAAAAAATTAAATTGAGGGGTTTAAATAATTTTATACAAATATGCATTACATAAATATATTTTGCATGCTAATATTAATGTGTAAATGATTACAAAATACAATGGAATCAAAGAAACTTATAATTTAAAATAATTATACAATACTCATAAGAACGTTATAAGAAATAAATAAATCATTTTGAAAGAAGGAAAGGTTGTAAGTTTACAATTACATGGTATAGTGTTAGACTAACAATGATAATGCTTGTTATGATAAAGTTATTATTAAGTCCATGAAGTTATTATTTGTATAGATGCTTCCTGCAAGAGTTTCTATGTCTTGGAAGCTTTGCTTAAAAATAAAATTTACTCACTTGAAACTTAAATTAAATGAATCCTCAGGGATAGCATGCTAACTTAAGATGAAACTTCTACCTGTAACAATGAATCTGTGTATACATAGGATGTGGTGTAATATAATTTTTCATTATAGTCCTTTACTTTATTTGTTTTCTGCTTGAAAGTTAAAAATGTGTAATGTTTGTAGCAAGCTCGGAAACCTTATGATGTACGAGATGTAATTGAACAATACTCACAAGGTCATCTAAATATGATGGTGCGAATAAAGGAACTTCAAAGAAGGTTAGCAATTGTGTAATTTCATTTCTTTGGTATAAAATGTCCTCTTATATTTTGTTATTTGAAACTCGAAATATTACATTCGCAATAAATTAAAAAACTTTTTTTTATCTTGAGATAAACTGTTTTAACAACTGAGCTCTTTGGATTTTGGCAAGTTTGTAGAAAGAAAGAAATTTTTCCTCAATACAAAACTTTCTCACTAAATAAGAGGGAAATCAGAATTTCTGGGTGGAAATGCAATGGGTGAACAAACATCTATGTACAACACAAATGCTCAGTGGGTCAATAAAAAATTTCAAAAGGTTAAAAGCTGCAAATCGTAAATAATAATATTTCACTTAGTTAAAGAATGGAAAATTCTAAATTAATTAGCATCAGCATTAGTTTGAAAAATTTTATTTTGTTTGTTCAAAATAAATCTTTAAACATTATCTCTCAAGCATTATGATAGCAAAAATATTTTATTATTAAATTTCTTTTATTTTACGAAACCTTTTTAGATTAGACCATACTCTAGGAAAGCCAGGATCATATCTTACTGAAAAAGGTGTTAAGCCAATGACAATTGGAGCTCGTTTATTTCATATGGAGCAACAGGTTAGTCTTACTTGAATTTGTTACTTATTTACTGATATGCGGTAATTTTTGACTTATATGTCACTGCATTTCAAAATTTAAAAGCAGCATACGTATTGCTGCGAAATTTAGACCTATATGTTACTTATTTATTAGTAAAATTTTGAATTGCTTTCTCTAAGATATCTCAATTGTTTTTGTCTTAAGATTTCTAAATGATTATTTTTACCTTAAAGTTTATTTACAAAACGGAAATAGTTACCATATATTTCCAAATATAAGCTGAGAATTTTTTTGAAATGTTTCATAAATTCAGGAGAGGTTAGCTCATAATTAGATCTACTGACTTTGAAAAATTCCAGGACATCATCAGCATAAAACATTCCAAAATGTAATGGTTTTAACTTAAAAGAAGCTGATTAATTCATAATTATACATAAATTAATAATTATACATAATATTTAATAATTATGCAAATAACAATACATAATTTTTTTTTAAAAAAAACCTTAAAAAAATAAATGCTATAAGAGTACTTATGTTCAACTAAATTTTTAAAAAATTAGCAGTCACCACATCTATTATTCTTTGTATAAGATTTTGATGCTGCAACAGTTTTTCTAAGTAAATATTTTTTTTTATTTGTGGATTTTAAAAACGCAATTTTGAATATTTTTATCTTTCAACAACATGTGAAATTATTGTTTTCAAATGCATTCTCAATTTCAGTATTACGAAATGAATGTTTTATTTCTAAACAATTTGGGTTAGACAAAAAATTATTTTGTAATCAATATATATATTTCTCTATAGATGATTACTTTGGATCGAAAAATGGATGTCGTAATTGCTTCGATAAATGTGTTAATCGAAAAGATATCAAGTGAAACAGGAAGCAATGTGGAGCAAGACATATGATTACTATCCCAGACTTGTGAAAATTTATATTTATCTAATTACGTATTCATTTTAGAATGTTATGCATTTTATTTGTTGGTCATTTCTGTTTTAATTGATCCGCTAAATTATTATTTTTCTTTTATGTATACATTTAAACTACACAGTGCTTGGTCTTATATTGCTCATGTACAATTTTTTAATTAGTTGAACTTTTGGAACAACTTGGATCTCATACGCCAAGAAGTTGCTAGTAATTTCAAAAGCTCTAATAATTATTTTAAATGCTTAACTATACATATATAATGTAAAATTAAAATTTCTTCGGAATAAATTGGATTTTAATATTTTATTTTTCTAACTATTATATAACTTAATATAAATGACATAGTAAGAACTGCAAATAAATCTTTCTAATAGTAATATGCCTGAATTAACAAAATTTTGGAATATTAAGTATTAAGTTTTTTGTTTAAAATTTTTTTTTCGTCCAGTAATTGGAAAACATTAAAAACAAACATTATAGTGCTTGCAGTGGAAGTCGTCATGGAGAAATCTTCTGATGAAAGCATTGACTCACATTGGGCTCTCTGGTCAACTATGATGATGATAGTGCTTGCATAGAATGTGTCTTACCTCAAAATTGCATTTCTGAAAAATCACTTAGAGAAAAAAAAATAAAAAAATTTTTCTGTTTATAAAGAGAAATGGTGTAAATACAGAAAATTTAATTGTAATAGTCCTAACTAGTTAATGTTTCAACTAGTTAGGATTCGCAAGATTCATCCAAAACTCCCTTCTTATTGATGTATCTTGTTTTTTGTGTAACTGAGTGGCATGACTTACAAAGTTAAAATTTTTAAGCTGCAGTTTAACAATTGAGTTAATACAAATTTGTACATTTTGCTGTATCAACACTTATATCTAGCATTTGATGTAGCATAACTGTGATTACTGACAACAAACCCTAAAAATCCACTTATATCTATTCTTATATTGCACATCTGTTTCACATCTCTTAACTCTCTGCATATCAAATTCTTTTCTTAGTAATACTGATATATTCTTGTAGATTTAAGAGACTTTGCTATTGATAAGAACCTTAGATAATTTGTATGTGTATTAAGGTCGAAAATTCTTTTTAAATAAGAAGTGTTACTGCTTTTCAAAATAGAGTTTGAATATTATGGCATTTTGATTAATATATCATTATTCTTTATTTCTCATCAATTTGACTAATAATACTGCTCAGTAAGAAATGGCAGGAAACAAATAAGCTGTTAAAATACAGAATTGTTCCCTTTTTAAATTTAATGATACAAAATGTCTATTATTATCAATGATCTATGTTTAATTTCTTAAGACTTGCCTCCGGTATTTTCTTTTCAAATGATAAGATTTTTCTCTTTCATTTTTCGTTACATGAATATTTTATACCAATAAAAAAAATAGATATTCTTATATACCAATGAGTGTCAAAGATTTAATATTTCTCTTATTACAGATACTAAATATTTACTAAAATATGTATATATTTTGGGAGTAGAAATCTAGTTTATTCTCTAAGAAATTATAGCCCTGTATCAAAGTTTTTCTAAATGCTGGAATTATACAAAATATTTACTGAATACAAATAGGCAAATATGACAAGATTTGGTCAAAGTAAAAATAAATATTTTAGTTATTTAATTTTACTCGTTAAATTTTTCTTTATTATATCTTTTAGAAAGTAATGGATATGAGTCATCTTATTTTACAACCTGTGTGAGAAATATTTGTATGATCTCTATGTTTCTAAATTTCTCAATATATGATTAAAATATTTTTCAGCTTTGTTTTGAACATTTTAATTTCCTTTCTTGATTAAATAATCTTAGTTTACTATAATTTTTATAATTATGCTATTACAAGTATGCAATTAAAAGTATGCTATTAAAACTATGCCATTATAACTATGGAGTTGTAGCTAGGCAGTTGGAGCTATGCAAGATCATCATGATGATGTAAATGATTTCTAATCATTTTTACATTAAATATTCTTCAATATTTCATTGACTTCCTCATTCATTCCTTAGTTGTTAAAGAACAGGCAATTTTGGCTAAGTTTATAGGATAGGCCAAATATATTCAATTGATGTTGCTTAGAGTACCTATATTTCAAATAGCAACAACAAACAAAGAAATCCTCTTTTTTTTTTCTTTTCATTTTAAACATTAAAAGTAGCACTAGAGTATCTCAATGTACTTTTTATCGTGTGTCACATTTCCTATAGCACAGATTGCTTGAGTATTTTTATTTATGTTTATTTTTGCAAAAGATACTTCTTGTAGCATAATAACACTATTGTTATGCATCTTTCTAAACTTTCTTTTCTGAAAAATAACTGTTAAAAGGATTTTTCTTTTCTGAAAAATAACTGTTAAAAATGATTTATTTTTCTGAAAAATAACTATTAAAAACAGATATTAAGAAAACTTAATAACACATACTTTTGAGTGTTTGCTAAGTGCAGTCAATGCTCAATATAAAGACCCTTGCTATCTGAACAAAAAATATATGGTATAACATGAGCTTGTTATAGCATATGTGTGTTATAGCATATATTATAACTTCATATTTTGGTTCTTGTACAGAAAGGGTCGATGTCATGGGGGATAATGTCAAAATTCCTATATTGCAAAAGTATAATAATATATATATATATATTCAATTTTTCTTTTTAGAAACATTTATTAAAACAATTATGCATCGGTGATTTTTCATAATAGCTGAAATATATGTTAGAGTTTAAATTTTATATTTAAACTTTTTACTAGTAGTTCTTTTTTTGGTAAAATTTATAAAAAGTATTACTTTTATTGATTTTCTTCTTTAAAAATAGTTTTGAAAGTCAAATACATATCCTCAAAAATGTAGCTGTTTAATTCTGCCATATATTAATGCTAAATAACTTATTATAAAAATGTTGCAAAAACAATTTGTATCATGAAATCTTTTAAACAATGTGATGTCTTTTTAACAAAATTTAGATACGATTTTTATAAGAAAGTAAAAAAATAATAATAATAGCAATACTAAGGACCCTTTGATGTTAAATTTTTTGGTTTGCTGATATGAATTTTTTTATTTTTATTTTGTATATACTTCCCATGCAGCTGATAAAAGTTGAGTAATGCATGTGAAATTATTAAAATGCCTCAAGTGTTTTAGCTTTTTATTATATCTAATATTTTATTTTGATTTGAAGTGGTCATCTCAAACATGCTAAACAGATGTTTAAGTATTAATATTTTGATTTCAAGAATAATTTTTTTTTTTACTGTAGGTAAAAATTATTACAATCCTTTTCTAAGTTCTTAAGACTTATTTTAAAGTATTTTCTTACCACTAATAATATTTCTTAATATTTTTTCATTAAAAATTGCAATTAAAAAGCTGCATGTTAAGATTAAAGAGATTTTTATTTTTTTAAATTAATGTTCGTGATTGTTGATACATTATTCTAATTTGCATTTACCTGGGATCCTAGAAACTACTTAAATGTAACAAAATATAATTAAAACAACAATATCATCCAGCTGATTCATGTTATTCTGATTTATGTTCATTAAGTGAAGGAAATTAAGTATTTTATAAGAGTACTAAGGTACTTATTAATATGTATGTATGAGAAATAAAATTAAAATTCACCTTTACTTGTAACTGAAAGCTTTAAAAATTGCAGATGTGCTCAGCATAATAGCTTCTTTAATAAAATAAGAATAATAGAGAGGATATGATTGCCAATGATTTCAAACAGAGAACAGATGTAGCCTTTGCTGTGGTATGCAATGTAGAGAGAATAATTTTTTTTTTTTTTAATAAACAAAATTTTTTTATCCTTATTCGAAAAATAGATGCATTAAAAAAAAATTTAACAGCTTTTTACATTTCTGATTTGACATATGATATTGAGCTAGAAGCCTTTGTATAAAAGTGGCTTTGAAATTTTGCTTAAATAAATTATTTTTCTAGATTATGTTAAAAGTCTATATTTCATGTTAATCCTGTAATTTTCAGCACCTTTCAGTTGAATTTTATGTACCTTTTATGTTTCAAAGATCTTTTACCTTTCTGAAAATATTTTTTGTTTCGTTAAAAACAGTGCTTCAGAATATTATCTGATAAATAATTTTCAAGAGGAAACATCATTACCATTGCAAGCGCGTTTAACAAAATAATATTAAAAAGAAATCAAAACATTATTGTTTGTAACGTTATTACAATAATGTTAAAAAAGTGCGAAAACATGAAGGCAAATTTTAATAATGAATTTACATATTTTATATGTTTATTTTCTCTTTCATGCTGCATGGGTAGTTTCATATATTTGATATAATATATATTTAAGAGTTCAGTTTATTGTCTTAATAATTCTTCTGAGAAAATATTTACTAAGGAACTTTTATATATATACATATGTTTATATAGATTCAACAAAATAATGTATATTTGTAAAGTCTGAGTGCTTTTACTCATTTCTTAATTACATTTTTCATATATACATACATTCTTTTTTCAAATTTATAAGGAAGATATTTATACTAAACTGACTAAATATTATTAAATAAATTTACTTTCTATACTGGTTTAGCTTTCTTTGTGTGAATAGTTTTGACAAACAATTATTCTGTATTTAAAGTTAATGTTTATATTGAGCATAATTGTAAGTTTTTCTCTATTATTATAATTTATAAGAAGGTTATTTGTAAGGTCTATATTTCACTTAATGATTTTAAAACTGTCATATGCATTTTTTCCAATAATTTGTCACTTAGGGATTTTCTTTGAGACAAATATTGTGATATCGAGTAAGTTAAATAGTTCTAACTCTCTAATGCATTCGCAAAAAAAGATGAATTTATTGAAATTTTTCTTCCTATACCTCATTTTAATAACAGGGGAGAAACTAATACGTTGGAAGAAGGATTTATGTGTGGAAGGTGGTTAGAGGAATAATTTAATAGTTTGCGTACTGTATAGAAAAAAAAAGAAAAATTTACTAAGTAAAAACGTACAAGTATTTGAATATTAAACAATGAATAGAGAGGGACAAGTAATGAAACAAGTTATACTAGAATTCTTACGAATTTTCTAATTATTACACAATTATTTAATTTAACTTTCTTCTAACACCCGTTTTTTTCACAGTCTTTAAATTGGTAGCTATTATGAGACATAAAATCTTGACGACGAAAAGTTGGAAAACAGCTGAAATCATTCTAAAGTGATTAAGTATTAAAAATTACGCCATAAGTCTCTTTCTCTTTTTTTTAAAAAAAATATATATTAGTGATGTAAATGGCACATATATTTCAATTAATATGTTTAGTGAATTATATATGTTGTATACACTAGGCTTAAAATTGTTATTATTTCAGAATCGTTATTTGGCCCTTCTTTCATATATTTGACTTATATAATTTTGCTAAAATTGTATTATTTAACCTTCTGGCAGTCACACAAATGAGTAATTTGGAAAATGTTTCTTCCATTTTCTATTTTTTTTCTATTAATGTTTTTCTTTTTTCCTATTTTATTACATGCAAGAACTAGGTTTGGTGTAGGAAACAGAATAAAGCTTGAAATGCCACTTCCCCCTGTGTCTTGCCAGAAAGGGTTAATTTAGAAATATTTCTAGAAGTCTATTTTCTCTATTTTGAATTCTATGCAATTGTATTTTTAAGCAGATTATGGAGTTATTCAGTTTATTTGTTTTTAAACATAAATTGTTAATATTTTATTATAAATGAATTTTTTATGTTTAAGGAAATGTAAAAAAAATTTAACTTTTTTAAATGTATTTAAATGTATATAAAAGTTAAAGATAGTTTATGAAATTGTTCATAAAAACAGTTATCAATTATCTTGGTTACTCTTGACAGCAGTTTTATCCTTTATATTCTTTTATCTTTACCAATAACAACTTATTACCAAAGCTAAAAGGCAATTTGAAAATCGGTGAGAAGTTTAAGTAGCAAATTTTTTTCTCTTGCTGTGTGTGCTTGGAATTATCATAAAACCTGTGGATGAATACTAGCAGCAAATTTTAAGGAAACTTTAAACAAAGGGTTATATATTAAAAATAAAATAGGCCTGTGAAATTTAAGTAAGGAAATATTATTTGAAATATAATGGCAGCTTTTGACATTTGGTGAGATGATGAGAAATCTATTTTTTTTCTGTCACATAAGGATTTTTTACAAAGTGAAGAGAAATGCCTATTGCACACATACGGAGGTGGGACAGAACTCAAACAATTGCTAAATAGTCAAGTTAGGTATTGTTTCTGATCCATATTTTTATACTGAATTGAATGAGATCATGATCAAGTTCATAGGAGTAGTAGGTAAGAAGTTATTGAGGTTTCGTGTATAAAAAGTACTATTTTGTATTTATATCTATTTGCCATCTAAGTAAGTAGAGTAATTGTTTTACACTGAACCGAATGCGACAAAAACAAAGTCGATTGAACCAATAGTTAAAAGTTGTGATATTCCAAACCAGAAACACGTATTGTATAATTATATGTACAGTATTCTATGAAACATCTATTATTATGCTCTTGACTCAGGTGTGACACTGGTGTCCCTTTTATACAAGCAAAAATATATTTTGGTTCTTTTAAACTATGAGATGCAGTAATAGTTACTAAAAAATCTGTTAGTATGTTGTGTTTAAATTTCAATTTTTTAATTGCTTTTTCTTATTTATTTATCCATTTTGGGCCTCAGGGCACAGTCAGTTTTTGGTATTACCACTGATGACGGAAAAGCTCCTGTGTGTTGGCAGGCAGTGTGTCGCCTGATGAAGTGCTGTTTTGCTAACACACACATCTTAAAATATTCTTCGTTTTCTGCTAGAATTGTGTTTCTGACTTTCTTAATTATTAATGAAAGAATTTGCTTAATTTTTTTCCTAAAACATCAAAAATTAAAAACTGTTTGAATCAGCTAATGGTTTCTGAATGTTATATTTTTTTTGTTGCTAACTTGTGTAATTAAAGAAATATTAAAAATTTTATAAATTATAATAAATGATCAAAAATCAAATTTTGCATAGTTTTGATTTAAATAGGTAAATCTGTTTAACAAGAAACATTTTTAAACATTAATGAATCTTAAGAATATTTATTGTTTTTATTCAGATAAGTAAAAATACTTTCTTTTAGATCTCCTTATGCTTATTTTATTAAACTTTCGTGACCTTGCATTGCAGATGGTAAAATAATTTCATTCAAAGACTTATTAAAAAAAGGAGAGGAAGTATTTTGGGCTACACTGCTATGAAATATGACAAAACATACAGATATTGTAGTTAGGAGATGGGGTATCATTTTGGTAATATTACAAGTACCATTATTAATACTGGGGCACAAAATAGTTCTGTTACTACAAGAATTTAAGACCAAAGAAATGAGGGGGAATAGTTAACAAGTAGTTGTTACTACTAAATTGGAGTTTAGGGGAGTTTGTAACGGAAACTGGGATACTGCAGACAGGATGTAATTTTCAAATAAATGGGAAATAAGGGATACTAGAAAAGTGACTAATTAATTGATTAACGTTTTTTAAGAAACGAAGTTTAAACTGATTGGAATAAGAATGGACCTCTTGATCAGCTTTCTTTGATCACATATTATATAAGTTTAGTGCAGTATAATCTCGGCTTTAGTAAACTCAGCTATATCTCAGCACTAATTTTATAGTGCCAAAACAATTGTTTGTCTGTATTAACTACATTATTTGTGTTTTTATATGTAGTATTCTATATTATTAAGCTTTAATTTTTCGATATTTTTTCAATAATTCAGTGTTTACTGAAGCTGAGTTTTCACTGATAATTTGAGCGTATAAAAGACTTAAATTTGATATCTATGATTTCCTGCTCCACCGAACCAGATTTTATTATATTTCATTGCAATATGTTTTGTAAAGAAGAAATATTCTTATTATTCTGCCTATTTTCAACACACCAAAGTATTAATAAATTTATGTGCAATACAATAAAAAAAATAACACCAAATCATCTTTTTTTTTCAGAATTTTATTTTTTTAATTCGTTTACCTTTTAACTTCTTTCAATTTCACAGTTTTCGAGTTTTTCGTTTCCTCTCTTAGAAACTGGGGAAAATAAAATAATACTTTGGCTCTAATAATAATAATTAATTAAAGAGAAATGTTGTAAATATATAACTACTATAAAACTTGACTCTATGAAATATCCAAAAATTCTTTAGGTATATTTTATTGAAATAAGTTAATCAGAACATCCATATAATATTTTTTTTTTAATTAAAATCTTTGGAAAATTTGTTCGTTTTAGATTACAATTATTTTTAAGAATTTAAAAATATTCGATTTTGACTTCAAGAGTTAACCAATTTAGAGCTGGTATTTTTTTATAAACAGTTCATAAATTATTCTTTATACTTTTATTGTTATTTAGGTATGTTACCTTTTTAACATTGGCATGGCAATATAAATTGTTTTCAAACTTTTAAACTAACTTTTATGATCAAAAAGATAAAAAAATATTAAGATTTGTGCATTTTTCAATAGCATTATTTTTGTAAGAGATATGCCTAGAAAAACGTTGAAAATTTGTAATACTGTTGAACAATGGAATTGTGTAACGTAAGGATCTTTTAATAAAATTTTATTTTCTGGAAAAACTTTTTATTCATTTGTAAAAATAGTACTTTAGATGTTCGTTTTTTTTATTTTTCTCAGCATTGTTTAAACTTTTATTATGTCCGTCGAGGTTTTTTTTTATTATTAAGAAGTTTGATTTTTTTGTGTTGCCTAGAACAAACAAAACAGTATAAATAAATTAGATTAATTCTGAAAAGCGTGTTTTTCCTGTATTATGACTATCATATCTGATACATGGTACACTATAGAAGATGAAACACTATATTTGATGAAATTTGATATTTTCTAATATAATTTATCATGCATATAATCAATATAATATTATCGCATATAAATGTTTTCGAAATATACCGATGCATTTAACAGCATTTTTTCCGAAAAACAAAATTAATCAGTATTAAGGAATTAAAATATTTTTTCTTATTTATATGTCTAAAATAGTTAAAAAAAGAAAGAAAAAAAGAACAGAAACCATTCTTCTAGCATACCCTTTTTATTTATCAAAAGAAATACAAAGGTATACAAAAATCACAGTTGATGACATGAAAATCACCAGTACACAGAAACGAAATAGAGTAAAAAATATTAAAAAAAAAAAAAAAAAGGTGTGGTCATGATGCTCTACTATCTAAAATAATCATATTGAAGCTTCTTTTTTTTTGTGAAAAAGCAGAGTAAAAAATGAAAAAGATTATTCATGATGCTCTACTATCTAAGATGATCATATTTGAAGCTTTTTTTTTCCTCCCTTTTTTTAGTGAAAAAATAAAAAGGCAAAAAAAATGAGAGTTTATTCATGATGCTCTACTATCTAAAATAATCATATTTGAAGCTTTTTTTTCTTATTTTTAGTAAAAAAACAAAATGGCATAAAAAATGAAAAATTTTGGTCATGATGCTCTACTATCTAAAATAATCATATTTGAAGCTGTTTTTTTTTTTTTGTGAAATGAAATCACTTGACTCTCCCATAGAAAATTTTGATGATTAAGAATCTCAGTTTTTATTTATCTTATTATCGAACACTGAAATTAATATCAGCTTTCAAGTAGTTTACTTAAGAAATTTTGATTTTACAAATATAGAAGAAAATAACAATTTGATTGATATTATTTAGCCACTAAAATGCACAAGAGAATGTTACGATTTTTCTGGGGGAAAAAATGATAGCTGCCATCTGTTTGGATGATAAATGAAAAAGTTTTCCAAACAGAATGAATTACGATCTTCAGACTAGAAAAAAAATGAAATGGAATTTTCTTTAAAATTGAAGTGATTAAATGTAAATGATGTTAACCATTGAGCTTGAAGTTAAAAAAAGATTAAAAAAGCAATAGCTAAATTTAGAATACATTAAATAATTCTTTACTTATTCTAAGGAAATTGTCTCCTTTATAGATTCATTGAAGTTCGACCTCTAACCTCTAAATGTTTCAATTTGGGAAATGCCACTCTGTACAGTGCGCACAACAACAAACGAAGCATCCTGAATAACTCTTGATCCAATGATTGGATCTTCTCGTTCTAGGACTCAATCTTAAAGATTCTCAAATATGTTAATTTGTGCTGTCAATATTTTGAGTTAGAAATCAGACACAAAAGTGTGCCTTCACTGAATGAATACGCCTTTATTTCGACGAATTCGAATTTCTGAGCCCCAAAATATAAGGGGTAGCCGCAATCTGAGAAATATGGTCCCAATAGTTTGGTCAGCAGAGTTGTCCAATGTTAAAATCCCTTAATGTTAATTTTACTTTTTGCGTTTTTCAGCATATCTCGAACTTCTTAAAGTGAATTGAAAAAATTTTGCACACAATTATAAAATTCGCTTATACAAATTATAACCTTTAGTAAATATTTATTATTTTATTAAATATTAGTGGAAACATTTTGAATTGTATGATATACAATATTTACAACGTTTCAAAGAATGCAATTTTAAATAGCAAAATACAGAATGTGAGCGAAATCAGACGAATAGTTCCTTAGAAATCGAATGGTTAAAAAGTTTTATTTTTAAAATTCGATTTCTGAAGAACTATTAGACTGATTTCGCTCACATTCTGTATTTTACCATGTAAAATTACATTGTTTAAAATGTTGTCAAAAATTGTATATCATTTAGTTTAAAATTTTTCCGAATATTGTTAATTAAATTAATAAAAGTTTACTGAAAGCTATTTATTGCATGGAATTATCTCTGGAAAAACGAATTTTATAATTGTTTGCAGAAGTTTTTTAATTAGGTTAAAAAAGTTCTCGAGATTTGGCGAAATACGCTAAAAGTAAAATTAACATTTAAGAGTCTAAACTCTAGACAGCTCTGCTGACCAAAGTATTGGAACCATATTTCCCAGATTGTGTCTACCCCCTATATTTTGAGAGTCAGAAATCTGAATTCTTCGGGGAAAAAAAGTATGTTTATTCAGAGAAAAAAAAATTTGTGTCTGATTTCTTAACTTAAAATATCGTCTACACTAATTAATTAGCATAATTGTGGTCATTCCCTCGAACCATTAAGATTGATTCCTAGAACGTGAAGATGCGATCGTTAGATCAAGAGTTATTATGGGTTGTCCGTTTATTTATTTTTTGTATACCTGTGCACAATGAATAAATTAAATTAATAAATATGTGGAGTTGGTATAGCCTTGCTGGAAAAAAAAATTATTTTTTTTCGCTAGGAAATATCATTGAGCATTTCAGAGATCTGGAGGTTTTTTTTTGCCTTATTTATAAGGAAACATAAATTCTAAAACAATGAAAAGTTCTGTAACTTTTGGCACCATTAAAAATCACAAATTAATTATTTTAATTGAATTGGCATATTTGTTAGTAGCTTATTAAATATTTTACTCAAATGACAATAAATCAATACACAACGTTTATCATTATTTTTACCTCGTTTATCAGTTTTTTTCTGTGTCCCTTAATCACCAGTCTTGATATATATCTTTTCAAAACCTTATCAATAAGTAAGTTAAAATATACACGTTGGGAGTAGCAAATTCATAAGACAAAAATAAATAGAAAATGCTATTGAATCACAAGCGAGGAAAGCGGGATTAAAATCTGTCTGATTACCGGTGGAAACTTGAAGGTGTTTTAAACGATCTTCTTTAAACTCCTTTGTTTCTTCTGAGTTTCTTTGTTTCTTCAAACTGATTTTCATAATTTTAATCTCGTTTACTTTACGAGTGAATCGTCAAATTTCGTAAGTGTATTTTTTTCCCCATTGTTTAAATATTATTTTTTATGCTGTTCTTTCTTCATTTTCTGCAAAGATTCTAAATTTATTTATAAAGTGTAACGATTGCGGAAAAACTTTCTNCGTCAAATTTCGTAAGTGTATTTTTTTCCCATTGTTTATATATTATTTTTTATACTGTTCTTTCTTCATTTTCTGCAAAGAGTTTTTTTCCATTGTTTAAATATTATTTTTTATGCTGTTCTTTCTTCATTTTCTGCAAAGATTCTAAATTTATTTATAAAGTGTAACGATTGCGGAAAAACTTTCTCTTCGCCTAGTCGTTATTTGTTTAAAAACATTTTTCTTTCAGGAAATGGTAAAATATGGCTCTGATTATCGACAAAAGTTATTTAATATACAAGTTTACGTAGTACGAAGAAGAAATATATATATACAAAATAATCTCAAGAAATATGCAGAGATAAGCCTAGCTGGAAAACCACTCTTAAGCCTTTGAGTAAAAAATGTTAGGCCAGAACTGAGGGAAAATAACAATTGTTTTTTTAAAAAAAAAGCTTATTAACAATGTCTCATATAAAGACCAGCAATATATGGAATAATGTATGTTTCCCATTGTCCATGGCAACAAATAGGAACAAAATAGTGTTTCACGTGATGTACTAATTACGTGAATCGATTAATGAAATCGGTCACTATTTTTATAAAGGATAGTGATTGTCACTGGAAAAAGTGCCTTTATTAATGATGACTTTCAGTCGATTCATTCGGCAATAAAAGCAACTGCCCACAAGAATGGAAATTAGCAACAATAACACTATTCCAAAGGTTGCAGCTGCAAAGCCATCTGTTCGAAAACACAACTTATCTTCATTCCCAGTTCCATCTAAATTGAGAAAAAATAAAAACACGTTTTATTAAATTAATATTACAGATTTGATTAGACATTTAATACAATTTAAACATTTCAATTAATATTATTGTGAATAATAATGAAACCATGTCATTGAGCATAAATTTAAATTTTCTAAGAAACATCATAAAAGTTTTTTTAAAAGCTCTAGAATTAAATTTGAGCTACATTTTGATTAATTCGCTGAGCTAACTTTATATTTTTTGTAATTTAAGTATGAATATTTTAGAAATTAAAATGCACCATTTCAATACTAATAAGCTATTTAATTGTTTACCTTAAATCAATAAATAGTATCGGGCGTAGCTAACTATTGATGTTATTTTTCGTTGAAAAGTTTTATAGAAATATTTAATTATTAACAAAATCCTACTCTAGTTGAAAAAGAATAACTTAATATGCGTAAAACCTTTTTTTTTTACAAGATATTAAATTATCTACAGTTATGTTTTTTTTTAAATTAATTAATGTTTTTGTTAAACAATTTATTTAACTTTTCTAACATGTCTAGAATTTCCTAAATTTTTCCGAGGAAATCATGACGAAAAAAGTACGTATTATTAGAAACGTCGACAGTAAAATTATTAATCAAAATATCATCTGTAACAGTGTAAAAAAATACTGATAGGCTGAATCAGGAAAATCGGTTTTCTCGTAATATATTAAAACCCCCATATATCTTCATATATTGAAATCAAACGATTTTTTTTTTTAATTTTCAAACTTCAAGTTATATTAAAAAGAAGAAAATGTTTCAGCTTTAAGTGTACAGTGCGCAAAAAAGAAAAAAAAACGGACCACTCTTAATAACTTTTGATTTAATGACCGAATTTGCACGTTCTATAGTTAATCTTAATAGCTCGAGGGGGGAGGGGGTGACCTCAAATATACTAATTAATAAGGGCAGAAATTTTTTATTAATATCAGACAATATTTTATTAATTATTAATATCAGAACATCATAAAAGTCATAACATCATCATAAAGAACATCATAAATAAACATCATAAAAGCCCGCAGGATGCTCATTATATTATTTTAAAAATTATTATAATAGATATTATCACGTTTTAATTATTCTTTTAGTGTTTTGCAATGGAAAAGTTTTTAGTTATGCTGGATATTTTTTTTCCTGTTGAAATTTGAAATCAAGCATTAAAGTCGGTCATTTTATTTTAGATAGGTGAATTTTAAATTGTTGCAAAGATAAACCGTCCCTTACCATTTTTTGCAAGATATTTTCGTGATGTGCTGAATTTTTTCCTGGGTTGGTTTTTAATGCTACAACTGCACAGATTGTCGCAACGACGTCATAAAAAAGCCATAAATGGTCACAGTCGCAGGTGAATTGTTATAATTGTCCCACGGAGATCATAATGTGACTTTAATGTAATTATGTTTTGTGATATCTCATGAAAGTCACCATGACTATTTATTGTGACTTATGTCACTTAGTAGTCACAAATATACTTTACTGGTACTAAAGTCTCCAAAAAACTTTTTTGCAACTTTGATCCCCTGAAAGTCACATGAGAACCATTTCACGACTTGTCTTTCTAAAGTTAGGGTATTTCTTAAGATCTGTTTCACTAAAGTTAGGCCAGTTACTTGAAAGTCTTGTAAGCAGTTTTATGCAATCTCTTAAAATTAAATATGTGACTGACAATAGTCATGAATAGTCACAACAATTACATTCGCATGTGATCTTTTTTAAATGGCTCCAAAAGCCTCTCAATATGATTATGAAGAAAAAAAAATTTCCGTNAAAAAAAAAAAAAAAAAAAAAAAAAAAAAAAAAAAAAAAAAAAACAGTGCCAGAATTTTTTTTTTTTAATGTTATTGTACTCTTTGCCTAAATTACCGAACAATATTTAACTAAATCTATTTTAATATTTCATTTTCATTTTGTTTTTAAAATAGATGAATATACTTACATTTTCTTTAATATTCATATTAAAAATTTCAAAATCTGTACAACTGTTATGGCCACAAACGTTGATAAGATTTATTTTATTAAAAAATATTATTGCAGAGGTAGAAAAAGTTTGTGAGCAAAGAAAAACATAAACTAAGCATTTTTGTAATCTTTTAAATTTGAATAAAATGCTTTATTCTATTTTGCGTAGATTTGGATTAATATTGATATTATTTGCACTCAAAGATTTATTTTCAGGAAAAAATGAAGACAAAAATTCAATGGAATATGTAGCGCTTTGCATTGAAGTATATCTTGTGCTCAGACACTTTTAGGTTTCTTAAATATTCGATAATTTAAAAATACAAATAATAATTAGTGTAAAATCTTAAATTTAATTTTGCAACTTATAAAAATGTAAATGGAGAGATTGTCAGTTGGTGAAAATCATTCAAAAGAATTAAGATCTGATTGATATTTGTTCGAAAAAAGCAAACGATTTTAAATCAAACGTGAACTACAGCTGCTGTAATTTTTTAATCGTCATCATGTTTTTTTTTCTTTTAATGAGTGGCTCAAATTAAGGAAGCTATATTGACCAGTGCTATGATGCTATAATTTAAAATTTAACGTATATTCGTCAGTAAAATATATATGTTACGAAATTAAAATTTGTTGATTTTTGTTTAATTCGTTGAAAACGATTTACTTCAACTTTATAAAAGCTTTTATTACTTACATTAAATGTTATTTGCAAGCTATGCTGTTGATTTTTGATGTTAAGTTTCTTAGTTTTAACGTATTATTTGGTGAAGAAAGACGGACAATTGGATATTCTATGCCAGATCTTTAAAAAGTCGTAGTCTCTTTTAACATTATTCGTTTAAATATATAAACGAAGAATTAATATGATAATTTTAGCAACGATGATGTCACCAAAAATTGAATATTTCAAAAATGTGATCTCTTTTGTGGAAAATGTTGTATTTAAACTCGGTGAAGTTTCGGTCCTTTTATGATTTGGTTAATAGTCAATATATTCCAAGCCTGCGATTTGAAGAAATTTTGAACTTTCGTGATGGTTATTTTAAAAACAAAAAGTGATTTCTCAACTTCGCAAGTTCCATTTTGTTCGATCACGCAACAAAAAGGGAAAGTCATAAAAAAGAGGTAAGCTCTACTTATTTTTGATGTCTTTGCGTATTAGCTCTTATATTAGAGAATACATTAAAAATTTGTGATTTAATGTTGTAATGTGATTTAATTAGAATAAGTTATAGTGTCTTAAGATTGATGATTAAGGAAAATTGATACATTTTGAATTCACTTTCGATTAAATCTATTATTATAGATTTAATCGAAAGATTTTATAGATTTAAATCTATTTAATTTCTTTCTTTAAAGGTTCTTTTGTTTTCTAATATTTTTAGGCGTTTGTTTTCGATTTGCTAAGTCAATGTTATTCCATTTTGATCGCTTTTTTTGTTTTTTGTTTTTTCTTTTTTTAATATAATGCACCCTAATCGACAATATTTTGTAATGGTTTTTATTTTCTAATTTAGATTGATTAATTTTGTGAAGTAAATAATTTTTGTCCAAATTTTTTTTTTAATATTTAATCTTTTTTTCACTGAATACAAACATTTTTGAAAAGTTAAAAAACTAAAATACTTCGTTTAAAACTAAAATGTTTCGTTTTCATTCAAAATCTTGTTTTTTTAAAAGCAAATGTATACTGGGTCATTCCAAAATTATTTTATGGTTCAGTTTACAATTCTCACAAAACACAATTATTTATTTAATGTTATTATAAATAAATAAATGTTTAGCATCATCGTTACTGATTTTTCAAAATGAACTACGCTAACTAGTTATTGAAATCTATATCGTATAGTCACAATTTTAAAATATTGTAAGTCTATTTTATTGTGTATTGTAAGCCCTATAAACCCAAATAACTGTTTGAAATTTACATATTTTTAAAAGCGGTGTTTAGAAAGTAAAATATGGTAGCGCTCGCTTTATTAATGCTAATTTCTTGTTAAAATTAATTAATATTTTTTCATTTTTTATTTCTATTCAGAATCATAATGTGCTTAGTGATGCTTTCGTAAGCTACGTAGTATATTTCAGAAATAAATATGTGTAGCAACAATTAAAATAATTGAAAATAAAAAATTAAAAAATTGAAAAAAATGAAATTCTAGAGTTTAAACTCAATGTAAAAATTCTTAAATGAGTTCAAATTGGAATGCTTTAAAAATAAAATAAATGCGCAGAATGCTTTAAAAATAAAAATTTTAAAATTTGTTATGCAATTAATATTCAGTATCCGCCCCGGTAACACCCTAGATTGCAACAAAAATGTGACAGTTACGAGAACTCGATTGTAAAGTCACATGTGACTTCGATGACGTCGATGCATGTGTCTAAAAAGGTTACTATGTCCGCCTTTGGTGACATCTCACATTTCGATGTCCCTCCGACGTCAACATGAGACCATAATGGGGGGGGGGGTCATTTAATTGTTACATTCATTATCGTGTGACGTGATGAATTCTCAATTCTATAGGGTCACGGTGGGGCAAAACTGTAGCTTATTCACGTCTCAACTAGGTCACTGTGTGACGAAGATATGACATATTCACGTCTCAATAGAGTCACAGCGTGACAAAATTGTGACATTTACGTCTCAGTAGGGTTTCCGTGTGACTAAGTTGCAACATGAATATGTCACATCTTAGTCGCACGGTAAGGTCACTGCGACAACTATATGTCTCATTGTGGTCTCGTATTGACGTCTGCGTGACGTTAAAATGCGACGTTCCCAAAGGCAGACATATAGTTACCTTTTTTTATAGTTCATTTCAAAGACCCACATGTCGCAGAGGTCACATGTGACTTCACAAATGAGTCTCAGTGACTGTCGCATTTTTGTTGCAAATCCAGTAATGATGCTCTCTGGGTGATACCGTTAACAACAATTGAATACTTATTTTTCGAATTTCTTTGAAATAAGATAAGTACAACAGTTATTTTAAATGCCAAAATGTATTGAAAAAACTGTATTAAGAAAGTGTATTAAAAATAATATTTTATATATAAACACATAGTTGATTAATGCAATATGGTACGATTAATCTGATAGTTTAAATTAGACGTAAACCTTATTTCTAACATTTTCAAAATATTTTTCTTATTATCAAGAATAAATATAAAAATATCTGTAAATGAAAATATAAATGTTGACTCAAGTTAATTCTGTTTTATCTAACTCTTATATTCTTATTAAAAATAATATTTCTTCACGCTTTTTTTTACCACAAAACTAACTCGTTTATACAAACACTAGTTTCTAACCATAGGCATCGCAGGTACCTCGTTTTTGAGGGGGAAAGAAATTAAAGTACACATTCTCAATAGTTCTCTAAGTTTCGCACAACAGAAAAAAAATTCTTAAATCTGCTGAGTATGTGTGGAAAGATTAATTATATTTATCTCTTTCATGTTTTTAATACTTAGACGAATTTAAATAGACAATGATTCTTGAAAATTTTCTTTGTTTGTCTGAAATATTGCGGGAAACTTTTTGAGAATTCTAATTATTAAGGGTGTCATGACCCACCGCCTCCCGTCCCGCCAAGGACGCCTTTTTTTCTAGCCTTATAACTATGAAAGTATTATTAAAAATAAAAAAACTTTTCCTGGTTTTGAATATTTGGAGCTCGTCCCAAGACTATCTGATATTGCCGTTCGAAAACAAACAAAAAAGTTTATTTGGTTTTAACTTTAAGAGAAGAGTAGAGATATTCCATCATTCTCTTTTTATTATAAACAAACGGTTTTATGTTGAATTGAAATATTTTGAAAATAAATTTTTCATTTTAATACAAGATATTTTCCAACACTGCAACGACTGTATTTTTTAGTGTATACTTTTTCATCAAAATATATCAATTTCATGTGATATACATATTTTAATATTGAGAATTTGATAAATGCCTTTTAAACATAATGATCAAACCAGAATCAGTTAGTACTGTTCCATAAGTTTCTAAAAAGTCGCAAATTATATTTAATTATTCTTTAAGACTTTAACTTATTTTATTGTAGTTTGTTTTACTGATAGAATTATTTAAAATATTGATAAAAGAGTTATTATTAAGTAACGAAATGACGTCACTTGAAAACTATGAGCTGGATCGCTTGAAAAGACGACTGTCAAACGATTGTTTACTTTATATTCGAGAAATTAAGAGCGAACTCCAAAAGCGGAAACTCACCCACTCTTGCTTGAGTTACGAAGGGGGTTCAAAACATTATAAAAGAGGTTTTGCTTCTCAAATTTTCTAACAAAGAACAACTTGTATTAAACTCTAATATCCCTTAATTTTTTTAAAAAAAATTCGTTATCGTAACAGTATTTCAAAATTATCATATTAGCTTTTTTAAGAAGAAATTTTTTTTTAATAAATCACATTTTACTTATGATTAATAGTACTTTTAGTAATAAAATAATGCAATAAAGGTTATCTTTCTCGTCAACGATTAGGAGATATATTTTTATGATCGACATGTTTATGATTTAGATCTTTATGATTTTGATATAATTAAGTCATAAAACTCCTATAGGGCTTCTAGTGTTGCAATGTACGGGTGCCGACATCACTTACATACGATACCTATAACTCTAACTTAGCTCTAATAAATATAGATTTTCTTAGTTTCTATGTTTTCTAGAAGAAAAAAAACGGGAAAAAAAATAATGGAACCCTTTTTTTATTAGAATATAAATCTTGATACTTTAACAGGTTGCTACTTAATCTACCATCCAATTACCAGACGTGATTAATAAAAGTAACCCGAAAAAAATATATTAGCCAAGCTCTTTTGGATTTCGTGTTTTATTACTAGAAAATTAAAAGGCATGTATTGCTATTTATTTTCTTTTATTCAATAACATTGATATTCGTGTTACTGAAGAAGTATTTTACGAGTTAATGGGTCATTAACTTCTCTGCTTTCCTAAAGTGCCCTTTTGTTTGTGTAGAAAAACACCTTAAAATCTTCACAATTTGACGAGTAGAAAAGAAGAAAAATTAAGTTAAGACACTTACTTTTGGATTGAAGAAGAAAAGGTGAGTTGACGTCTTGCTGCTGCACTTCTAATGCTTGGAAAAGACTGATACTTTCAGAAATTATTCCATTCTTATCAGATGTATCTTCAGCAGATCTTTTAACTAGATTACGTTTCCAATAACATTTTTGAGGCTAAATTTGATAATATATAGATTAATAAGTGTGGAATAAAACCAAAAAGAATAATAAAAAATATAAACATTGTAGGTAATTGAAAAAGTATAAATATTGTTGTATACAGTCAGTCGTGAAGAGTACACTTTCATCGTGTTAATAAGTTTAGCAGCGATGAGTGTATGATTAGTAGAACCATTGGAAATTTTCAAAATTCATTTTCGAAATGATATTTCAAAAGGACGTGAAGAAAAAATACTAGAGAGGAATGGTGGTTTAATACTTCTCATTTGCAAAGTTTTCTAAAAAATTTAATTATTATTATTTTTACATATTTCTACATTATATTATGTCGTACGAAAAAAATAAAAGTGGAACATTTGCATTCGAACTGTTGGATTTTCATGTACTAAGAGTAACACAAAAACGTATTTTCCGTGAATAAATTACACATTTGGATACTTGACTCACAAAAGTTCCGCTATCTAAAAAAATTCGACCAATAGTAAGATAAATCCTTGTGCTGCGTAATAAAATGTCTTTTTGAAGTCGAAATATCATGTATTTTAATAAATATTTTGAGATTTTAATAATATTTTATTACGATTACTTCATACTGTGTCAATCCTAACAAAGAAGTCTGGATATTATGGATCACATGACTTGAAAAAGATAAGAACCATATGTTGAATGTGAAAATAAGTGCGCACTCGTCTTTTGAAAACGAAGATGTAAAGAGATTTGAAGGAGCTTCGACTACTTGTATATTTTGTAAATAGTTAAATCTCTCTAGTCTTTTTCGTATTAAACTTTCAGTAATAAGATATGGAATTTTCATTCTACAGAGAGAGAATTAAAATTGATTTCAGTGAAATTTTGAAGGCTTAAAATTGAAAATAAACTCATTACTTAAATTATGGGAAAATTGGATCCACGACTCAGAATATAATGGAATCAACACAAGCCATTGCATATTTTATATATATATTAATGCTCCTCACACTATTGTATTGATATATTTTGCTTTGGATATATTGATACAATATTAGAAAGCACTCCATTTTGCGGATATAATCGTGTGAGCTGATGATGAGATTATATCTTTTCTTTTTTATGTTTTTCGGATTATTAATATATATATTGTTTAGAATAATAAATAATAAAAAATAATTTTAATAATTTTTCTTCTCTTGTCATTATTTTTTATTATTTTCCATATTTCTTCATTTTTTTAAACTTATGTATATATANGTTAGGTTATCTAGGCCAGTGTTCCCCAACCTTTTTATTACCGCGGACCTGTCACATTTAATAATTTTACCGTGGCCGGCTGGGAGGGGGTTGCTGATATATATATATGTATATATATAGATAGATAGATAGATAGATAGATAGATATATTAGAAGGAGATAATCGATAACCCCCTCGGACAAACATTAAAAATATGCCGTTGTTTGCTGCTATTAAAAGTTATATTCGATAATATTTGATCCTCAGTTATATTTGATCTACCTACTCATTTCATTTCATCATTCTATGCACCGAAACAAAATTACATAGTGTTCGATTCCTCATCATAATAGATTCATACAATTCTTGTTCTGTTCTGCACTCTACATCTAAGCATTTTGAACCCAATTCATAAACTGCTATTTCTGAATGCATCCACACGTTTTCCTATAGTTATTCTGCATAGACTAAACTTGTACATAAGCCATTCACTATTATAAATATGGGGAAAAAACTTTTCTTGACACATATATTTAAATTTTTTATTTTATTGAATAGTTTGTTATTAACAATTTTCTGGTGATTTTGTAAAAGACTGAATTTATTTAAAAAAAAACGACTATCTGCGAAAACTGGTATATCCTAAAAATCCTTCGCATAAATAATTTTTAAAAAGAATTATTAAAATTTAAAAATTCCAGTATTAACTGATTCTGCCCTACACCATTCAAGGAGCTGTTCATCAAAAAACAAAGCTGTTCATCATGTTTTATAGAGTTTTGAAAAAACAAATTTTTACAGTTCACTAGTAGCATGATATTTTTCTTCGTCTATAGAGTGGATTTGTAATCAAATGTATTACATTTTCTTTGATAAATTTTCTTTCCACCCGTTACTCGAAATATTCGTTTACTCAAAATATTAGTAACGTTTATTTATTGCGTTGAGCAAAGAGGGGGGATGGAATTTTGCTTTTTTATTCTCTACTTATTTTTACGATGTTACATTTGATTGAGCAGAATAATTTTCGGAATCGTGGGTGGTATCGTATCGTAGTTGAAGACATTGAAACATCAACCACGAGAACGTGATTTTAAATGAGTTGTTTTTGTTCACTTTTCGTTTTTATCTTTAGTTTAACCACTGGGTGTGTATAACTCAGCGTTATGACTACTTTTTCTGATTGGATGTCTCAACGTATGTTGATCGTCTCGATAATGAGATAACTATAGAGTCGGAAGACTTAAACCATCGCATCCTTATATACAATATATACATATACCTGTTATATTCAACAAAAATAAAAGATATAACAAATAATCGGCTGTAAGATAAGTGATGCTTCAAAGTATATTTTTTTATTATTTTCCTCTATTTATCTAAAAGTATGGATAAAAATCAAAAAGAAATCTTCACTTCCTTGTAGAACTTGAAATAATAAAAAAAAAATTAATTTTTTTTTTTTTTAAAAAAAAGGAAAAGATTTGTTTAGAGCAGGGTTTCTTAAACTTTTTGTGGAACCCTATAAGCATTGCGTAAATCCGATTCCTTGCTTGAGTTAAACGGTCAGTTTCTTCAATTGTACTGTAATATACTATTGCATGAGGCGCGGTGGCTCAGGGGATGGAGCCTTTGCCTCCTAAAGAGGTGAGCTAAATTCGATTCCCAGCTGTGGCTGGCATTTCTGAAGTATAAGCTTTTCTAGATATAATCTTTTCTAAAGTGTGATTCTCAAATACTAAACGAATAATTTATGTCAAACTTTTTGTTTTAGCATTAGGCAGAAAATTGTATACCCCATTAATAAAAAATAGTTCAATCAGTATCGAATTTAATTATTTATAGCATTTTTCTCCCGTTTTTCAATTCTTTTTTTTTTTTTGATGCATAAAATATTTGAATTTTTTCTCAATATACGAATTCTTTAGTTAATCATTTTTTAATGAAATTTATTTTGTTTTTTAAATTCAAATTTTATTCATGAATAATTAAAATTAAATATATATATATATAGCTATANCATATATATATATAATTTTAATTTTTCATGAATAAAATTTGAATTTAAAAAACAAAATAAATTTCATTAAAAATGATATACTTATTTACTTTTATAATTACGCCATAAAGTTTAAATCAATTATAATGTAATGTATAATAAAAAAAAACTGTATCGCTTAGGCTGATATTCAAGAAATTTTGTTCTATTTTTTTCCCCATAAAATTTTTGAAATAACAATCTAAGAGCATTGTTTATGCAAATATTTTTCATGGAACTTGAACTGGGAAAAACTAAAATTGGGTTATTAAGAAAGACTCAATTTAAATAACTGCATAATTGCTTAACAGTCAAGATACTAACTAGTGCCCTACTTGGGCGGTAAAAAGACAGCATTTTGTTTTCGGAAAAAAAAAGAGTTCTGTATGTATGTAAGTGAAGAAATATATACTTTGCAACAATCGAACCAAAAAATGTATAATTATCATTTAAACTGCAAAAGGGTACAGGCAAACAAAAGTTAAAGAAAAGATAGACCTGCTGGAGAAAAAGTATATTGAACTGAAGAATTGTAATTATAACTGTTGTTTTTTTCTCCCCTTTATAAAGATATTAGTAATTTGAATTCCTGTATCTGCTAATTAGAGAGAATGATTCGTGATGTCGTTGTGCTGCATCAAAAATGTAAAAAAAATCTTGTCGCTACATGAGCACTCAAATTCAGTCTCCCCTGTAGTTATCATTAAGAAAAGGCCATTAAAGTGGATTTTTGTTAGGGGAAACGAACGCAAATAATTACCCCTCTTTTTGCTTTGCCGCGAAAAACAAGTTTGCGGGAGACATTAAATGAAGTACTTAGCATTTTTCTACTTAAATTGTTTTCTACGCTCCACCAAATATTGTGTCCAAAAAAACACATTTTTCATATTAATATTGTCTGTCCTTGAAAAAAATTGGCTAATATTGGTTTGGTCAATTTTTTTTTAATTGGTTGTTAGGTTCGCTTTTTTATTTAATTTACTACAACGGTGCTGTCCACTATCAAGGTTGTTTACTTTTTTAGAGCGAGTATCCATTTTAATTAATATTTATAGTTTGATTTTAAAAATAACTGCTCTTTTATTCAGTGGTTTGTTTAATTATTAGTGGGGTTTTCCGTTTTATCACGGTACATTGAGCCGTTTTTTGATAACGCCTATAATCTTTAATCAGTATGATATACTAGCGACCCTTCCAAAAAGAGCATGGTATTCTTTTTTGAAGATCAACATTTTCAGAAAAAATTTCCAAGAAATAATAATTTAAGCATTATTAACAGCAGTTATAAACTTGACTTTGAAATATCAAACTTTTAAGAAATAAATAAAATATTTTGAATTCCTTTACCAAGGAAAATAACAGAATGTTGCATTTTTTTTTTGTTTTTTCTGCTAATTAAGAAAGACACGTGATAAAAATATAAAATCTTACTTAAAATTTCCAATTGCTTTAGTATGATATATATTTTAGAAATTGTTAAAGAATCAAACAATATATCTATATCTATCTCTCTCTCTCTCTCTCTCTATATATATATATATATATAGCGAGAGAGAGAGAGAGTGTACTATATATACACTAGAGTGCGAGATAGCTTCAAAAAGGGAATTCAAAGCAATTGAACCATCAATTGCACTGAGTTACACGTGAAGATATGAGCAAAAAACGTGACTTAACTGAGTTTGAATGCAAAATGATTGTAGGCGCTCGAAACGTCGGAACCCTTGTCAGCAAAACGGCTGCTCTTGTGAAGTTTTTTGAGAGCAGCATTTGTTAATGTATGCAGAGAGTGGACTACCAAGCAGAAAAACGTTTCTCAGCGTCAAACTTGCAGCCGTCACAAGCTACTGACTGCTCGAGCTGAAAGGTGTCTTGCCTGAGTTGTCCCGTTCAATAGAAGAGCAANATATATAGTATATATATATATATATATATATATATTATTTCACTCAATCAGTCATTGATATTTAGTATTAACTTAATATTTTAACAGAAATTAAAATATATACAATACATTTTTGTAATATATTTAACACTATAATATTTTATTTAAATTCACTGTTCATTAAAATTATTCAAGCTCTCTATTATTTCATATTTGCTGATATGAATTAAAAGCCAAGCTTTCAGATAGATTACTTTCCTAATTTTATATTGTTCACATTTTTTTCGGCATTTTAAAGTTTTTTGCTTGAAGCAATTGTAGAAACTTAATATGGATTTACATAAAATTCAAATTTAACTAAATTTTCTCAAGTATAATGTTTACATAAACAAATTTGAATAAGTTATTCTATTTTCACGTTTTAATTTTGTATTATAATTATGTATGTTTTTATTAATTTATCATTTATTTAAAATTATAAAATGAATTGTGTTTAAATTAGTCAAATGTGCGGAAATAATTGCTGTAGAGTTTATTAAAATATCTCTCTCGCGATCACAGTCGCACAGTTAGTATAGGAAATACACAGTTATGTATTTCCTAGAAATACATTCACAGTAATTATAGTGATTTTATAGTAATTTGTACCTACGGAAGTTTGCTTTACGTGCCCAAACTTTATTAAATGAAAAGTTGGGAATCGAAACTAGCTGTCCATAAAAGTATTTTTTTAAAAAATAGATTAGGCAGAAAAATATTGATCTTTAAAATTCAATTATATAAAAAATTTATTTCGTAATTTTAGATAAAACTTATAACTAAATAAAGATTATCAAATTATTATAAATAGCATATTGTTCAAGTTATATTTATATTTTATGGTTTAAGTAATGTCTTTAATTTATTTATAATTATAAAATTAATAAATTAATTAAATTTAAAGTTTGCGAAAGTTAGGGATTTACGGAAAAATTCATTAAAGAAACAAAAAAAAAATTTTTATCATTTATTTATTTATTTAATTAATAAATTTATTTTATTTTTCATTTATTTTTTATTTTTTTATTTATTTATTTATTTTTTTTGAATTTTTTTTTGCTCTCTCATATTCATACAGTTAAGAAATATAATTACTAACGTAACTTTTTATTATAAGGTGATTTGTATGGCAGGGAAGTTAGATAGACGTGTGGACTTAATAAAATGCGTAGCCGGTAATCAAAACTCTTCGTCCATAAAAATATTTATTAAAAAAAAAACAGAGCTGACCGAAACTTTCATTACTGTTAGCACCTTCTACATTCTAACATAATTCCCTAATCAATTTTTATACAACTTCGAAACTGTTGAAAAATCTCGTGTTAAGTATATAGTTGAGAACGTAAAGAAGTTTCAGAAAACCATTTCTAGCATAAGAATTAGTAATTAAAACTTTATTATTTATAAAATGAATCACAGTTTTTTTCAATAAAGTTTAAAACCAGATGATTGTTTTGGGGATTAAAACAATTGCGGATTTAAGGGCATACTAAAATCATATGTTCGATGTCTGCCTAAATTATCGGTAATATAACTAATGTAATTTTGCTCGCGAAAAAAATTAAGAATATAAAAATGTCTTTAAAAATAAAATCTCAGTACTTACAGGACAGGCTCCATGACACATATGCACATCGCATTCTAAATATAATGCTCTACTGCCAGTAAATCTAAAGGTTTTTAGAAGAGCATACAATGTAACTTGATTTGCAGCATTCGTAACACCTTTGAAAGGCTCAATTAATTTTTCGTGTGCTACACATCTGGAAGTAAAAAAAAAATTCATATAATTTAATACATATTAAAATTTTTTAAAACGTATGTTGCTATCTAAGTTCCTTATAGCATGTATAAGGGAGTCGTAGAGAATCAAGGAACAGAGTGCTTGCTTTTCCATAAGATGAACCAGGCTCGAATTACAGCAAATTCTGGATGATACGAATTCTGCTCCCAACTCGCAACAACCGCAATTTTGACGTACAATATCTTCAGAGGGAAACGAATCATTGATTAGAATTTCCCTGCTGTTAAGCTAACCGTTGGAGGTTTGCGTGGTTTTCCTCTCCATCTTCCACATGCGAATTAGTTCCACCGAAAAATCCTAGTTTGTATAAATGCTTGATCCAGGTGTTCCGTTGCATTCTCGGTTGGTTTTAAAATTATAAGGATATGGAGTTAAACATAGGTAGTTATAAACCCAAATATAGGACTGCTGTTCAACATTGATTATGAAATATAAACACAACACGTATAAGAGCATGCGTTTTTTTTATATGAAAATTTAAAATCATCGATTTGAAATTGCAATTTGCTTTCGTAATATTTTTATAGTGTAATTTTTGGCTAATTTTTTTCTTTCATTTTCAATTTCATTTTCAAAAACTAACGTAAATGAAATTAAAGTAATAAGAATTGTTTATCATCTGACTTGATTTTAGCACTAATAAAGCTTTAAGGCGGAACACTATAATGGATGTTTCCAAAAATCGAATTCTATATTAGAATTTTTTTTAAATTGTAATTTTTGGAAGTATTACAAACTTCCAAAAAGAGTTGAGAAACCTACAGTACTTACTAATCTTCAAAATTTAATAGCATTTATCTGAAAACCATGCTTTTCCAACATCGTTCTTCTTTTAGCATGGACAAAATTGTTCTTTAGTCCTTTATTTTTTTTCAATCAAAAAAAAAAAAAAAAACAAATAATATATATATATTAAAAAAATGCGAATTGTAAACTTACCCATTTTCATCAATGAGTTGCAATCGTTTCCCAGCTCCATTGTGAGCATGGCAATCGCTAACCAAAATATCAAAACCCCCTGAAAAATGAATGATTAAGTCAGTACAGAAATTGAAACAAACATCATTTCATCTAGAATTTAGTAGTTTGGAAATTTAAAATGATTTTTTGCTACAGAATGTGTAGTTTTTTAAGAAAAGGATAAAAATTTTTAATATTTATTTATTAATATTTAGAAAAAGTGAAGGATTTATGCCCATCATTGAGTACTAGTAACACAGAACTTTATATTTAGATCTGAAACCATTGATAAAAGCTATAGAAACTTAAATAAAAGCTATTAAGAGAAAAAAAAATCTTCTCATCTTATCTGTTAATTTATTAACACTCTCAAAAATTAAACAAAATATATATTTTGTTCAATTTTTGACAACGTTAATAAATTAACAGATAACTAGTGAAAATTTATGAAGCCTACTAACCAGAGTAACCGAACGCAATTTTGTGACTGCAAATTTTTACACATGGAAAACTAGAAAAAAAAATTAGGCTACAAATGGTTAAGGAAAATTATGGGGAAATCGAATTGCTCAATTAATCATAACTAAACGCAGCTATATAAATGAGAGAAAAAAAATCCGAGTATTAATGCCTATCCATGTTTTAATGATGATATTAAAGCGTTGCATTCTTTTTTATTTATTTTTCCACATTATTTCATTTATTATTTTTTGCTTTATTTTCGAAGAAAGTTCTAATTAACCAATTAACCGAAGGGAGCTTTTTTTAAATTCTGGTTCCTCCTTAAATTTTTTTCAGAAAATTAGCCTACCAAACTAGAATTAATAAACTATTTTTTTTTTTGTTAAAAAAAATTGAATTTTTTTAGAATTATTAATTTTTTTCACAAAAGAAAACTTTATGATATATTATTAAGAAAGCTCTAATTTAGGAGAATAAAAATACTTATCCTTAATAGAGAAATTAAGATGACCAATTCTTTTGTTTCTCAGTGTTAATTATTAGCAGTAAATTATCACGACTCTTTCATTTATTTAAAAAACAGAACTGTGGGACTAATTAACATAACAGCATTCACGATAACACGACACATGATTTATTAAATGTAGAGTAAATTTATGAGGTTACAAATTATACACGAAAAGAAATTGAACGGTATTTTTGGTTGAACAAAAGGATTGCTTTGTTGAATGATAAAAGGACCAGCATCAGTCTTTAAAAAAAGTTACAAAACTGGTTATTTTTTCATTGTCACGGCCAACACGATCAGATACTCTTCATCTAGACTTCATCCGTCGGTTTTAAAGATAGTTTTCTAACTTTAACCGTCAAAAAAGGTCGTGAACTGATGTGTGAAAAGCAGCTGCCGCTTGAACAGAGAAAAAACATTCCCAATACTTTCTCCTTAGCGGTTGATTTGGTTGATGGCTCTGTCATCTATTCAAGATAAGGTTTTTCACCTTTTATTGTTTCGAAACCGAAAGTTACATTAAATACTGATTTGGATAACAGATTTTTTTTTGTTCCTAATCATTAAGAGATAGTTCATTTAAAAGGAATTTCTAAAATAAAATAAAAAAAGAAGCGAGGGTAATTATTTAAGAATAATAAAAATTTAATGAAAAAGACAAACCACCGTAGAGATTTTTTTATAATCACTTTTATGTAACTTGCTTCACGATTCATTTAATCTCCGCAAACTGTACAATAAACTGAAGTGAAAAAAAAAAAGAAACACTACTTGATTTATAGGAAACTTTAAAAAAAGTCCTTTCTTCTTTTTTTTTATATGAAGAGAAAGGATTACAAACAAAGAATGGATTACAGTGTTTGGGATACGCCTTAGCAATTTTTGAATAAACATTTTCATCAATATAGGTAGAATAGAGCTATTGTTAAAATCTTTGAGGCTGTCGAAGCTATTATGCTCCATTTAAAATACAACTTAAAATGTTCAGTTTCTTTTTAAAAAGAATATGTAAGAAAAGATTGTGTTTTATTTTATGTCTTGACTTTGAACTTGAATTAGAGGCTTTGTTTTTTGGAAAGTAAGAAGAAACAACTTTAAAGCGTATTTTTTATTAGAAATACTTTGTTTAGTGATGCATATATAAAGAGAAATAACTTTGCTGTCAGTAAACAAATAAACTGTTTGTAAACATGCTTACTGTGTGATTCCCGGTGAGTGACCGTTAAAACTTTTTATGAGAGTTTTATAGTTATTTCATGAATAGATAGACGGATGTTCCTTACCATATGTTCAATAATTTTTTATATTTAAAAAAAAATTATTTTTATACATACAATAAGAGCTCTAAGTCACATTTAGATAACATTTCTTTAATTAGAAACTACATTGTTTCTTAAAATTGCTTTTGTCAAACAATTTTCAAATAATTAAAAAAGTTTAATCTTTAATCAGACTTAAATTTATGTATTGAATTCAAAACGGCATTTAAAGTTAATACAGTTTCATATATTAGAAAGCATTATTTTTCAAGCAATTTTTAATAAAATATATAATGAATATTTTCGAAGACTGTATTAAGTAATGTTGTGCAGCATTAAAAAAATTTAATTAAATTTATTGAATTGGCGGAATATTTATTTAGGAAATAAAGGAAACCAATAATCGTTGATATTCAAAATGTCTTTTAAGTTACTTTAGTTAATTTAGCTGGATTAACTAGTATTGTTTATAATTAGTTTTATCTCATAAATTGAGGAAAATCACCATCAGAGGCTAATTAATCTTTCGACTCTCAAATAAATAAATATTTTTTACTATTATAAAAATTTTCAAAGATTTATATGCATTTTAGATCATTTTTAGTGCATGACTTAAACCCACCCTCATTGTTAAAAATTTTAAATACACGCTGAAGAGATGTTACTAAAAATGAGCAATTTTTTTTTCTTAAAACAGATTTTAATGTGTTCTGGACGATTGTAATGTAAAATTCCATGATAAATGAATTTATATGATAAATAAAATTACGTGATAAATAAAATTCTATGATATAATAACTTAAATGTGCTAAACTTTTTTAAAATATTTTTTGGATATAGCAATCTAGCAACAATAAGGGTAAAAAATTTGCTTTTATCATCAAATTACCCTGCATGACCTTATTTCTCAATATTTTCCATTGTTTACAGACCACAAAATATAAATTCAGACATAAATGGTTTTGCACATAATTTAAAATTTATTTTTATTATAAATAACATATTCCAATACTTTGTAAAATTTTTATGAAATTCGAATTAAGAAAACCGTTGAAATACTGAAACTATAATCTATACAAATGATTAAATAAAATTTGATACTTAATTCTTATATTTGCTTAGCTGTTAAAAAATACCAAGTTTTTTTCCGAACATTCTCTGTAAATTTGACGGTATAAAACTGCTTAGTTAACAAAACGGTTTTTAACTGCTTTTCAACCTAATCATAAACGCATTAAAACCATCAGTTCAAATTCTAGCTTTTGTTATTTAATTTTGTTTACCGTACGATAACTTAATATTTTCTTGATTTATTTTAAGATTATTTTTTATTCTTTGCTCTTAATTTCCTGCAATTATTTAGTGTTTTTTTTTTTTTTTTTGCATCGCATAAATAAAACTGTGATTATTAGTTTTCTTTAGATATAACTTTTTGATAAGTTGCAAATAGCAACAAGGTGGGTCACTTAAGTTTTTAACGCTTTGATACTTAAATATTATTTGAATGTATAAGACTTTTGAGTATATAAGACTTTTAAAGTAAAAACAATCTCTGACTTTTCTTCTTATTAAAACGTTTGAGCTGCCGTGCCTCAGGGGGTAGAGCGCTCGCCTACCCCCAAAGAGGGGATCAAGATTCGAATCCCGGCGATGCCTAATCGATACGAATTCTACTCCCGGCTTGCACCTACCGCGGTATCTGTTACGAGTACAGATTTACTACATAATTTTTACAGAGTAAACTTGTTCCCACCAGGTAAAATTCTATTGTAACTTCAGATTTAATTTGTAATTTTTACAGAAAAAACTTATTTTGGTATTTTAAAAAACCATTTAGACTTCTAGTTTTCTTCCTAATTTTTACGAAACAGACTTGTTCTTGTATGATAAAAAAAAAAAAAAAAAAAAACCACTGAGGCTACAGATGTACTTCGTAAGCTTTACTGTTTTTCGCAACCAAACTGCCAGTTTAAATCCGTAACTTTTACGGGGTTTTTCTTAACAGAGTTTACATGCATTTGCACAATATTGATTTTCTAAAGAGTTATGCAATCAATTACTGAAGCAGTCTTTTGTAATCAATGAGTAAAAGAAACTAATGGGATCAAACAGAAAATTTCCCGTGAGTATATAAATAAAAAAGAATGCAAAAGTATATTTTAAAAAATGAATTAATGGTAGCTTTCAAGTCCAGAGGCACAAATATTTTATTTCACGACAGAATCTGAAAAACGGTGACGACAATGAACAAAGTGAAAGGACCTGTCAAGAATTTTAACAACACAATGCTTGTGCATTAATGATGTACTAAGCATTCAGGAAGTCAGGGATCAGTGTTGTTTCATCTATTGAATAAATTATGCAATTATATAGCAACATGAGATCTAATGTTATGTATGACATTGACCTATCAAAGCAATTTTCTCAGAGCTTATGATTCTTCACGGTGCCTAGCTTTTTTTTAACTCTTGTTCAACATCTTGCTAAATTCTTGAGAATCGCGTCTTAATAAAATGCCAGCTAATGCTAATTAGAAATAAAAAATATTGATGAAACTGTGATTTATTTTTGAGCCAGTCATCATTGAAAAAAATGTATTCTTCTTTTAAAATATTATCATGAAGCTTTTCCGATAATTTAAAGGTGCCTTGAAGATTTTTGGTTTAGAAGTGTAGATGCGACTTTGTCTTAGCGCAGTGATTCTCAACCTTTTTTTTTGTTGCGGCACACTTTTAACGATTTCGAAATTTGACGGCACACAATAAAAAAAATTAGATTAAAGGTTGTTTAATTACCTATTTTACACTGTGTTAAATAGTTTGCGATAATAATTTTGAATGTGAAATAAAATAATATGTACTACAAAAGCACATTTATTAAGGGATTAATGACAGTATTTATTAACAGTTATTTATTTTTTTGCTAGTTATTAACTGTTAGCTTTTTTTCTATAATTATTAACTGTTATTTTTTTGTGATTTCTTGTTAACTCGTTTTTTTGCTAATGATTAATTGTTAGCTTAATTTTTGTTAGTTATCCTCTGTTAATTTGTTTTTTATATATTTGTTTTTTTAGCTATCCTTTGTTAATTTGTTTATTAATTGCATAGCTTACTTTAATGATTAACTCTTACAACATTATTTAAAATTGTGTCATATACAATTTAAACACTTCCATCTTATTTTAAGATTGTCAGAGACAATACAATCGCCGACAAAAATGTTCACGCTGTTAAAGCGTGGAAAAATTATAGAAAGTATATATGCATGTATATATATACACTTTTCTTTAATTTAAACTTTACTCATAATTAAAAAAAAAAAGCATTATAAATTATATCATTTCTAATATTTGGCGGCACATTTTAAGAGTTCGGCGGCACACAAAAGTGCAGCGACACAGTGGTTGAGAATCAATGTCTTAGCGTCTGAGGGGCTTTTAGTTTCTGTTAGACCTCCTGTAAAATTATGAAAGTTTTTGAATGCAAATGAAAGTAGAAGGCTCAAGCATAAATGCAACCATTTTATTTTTTTTATTTTTTTTTTAAAACTTGATATTTTTCCCAGTTTCCCTTGATATTTTTCCCAGTTTCCCTTGATATTTTTCCAACTATATTCAAAAGAACGCATAATAATCCAGTAGGTTTTAATTATAACACAGTGAGTTTAATTTTGTAAAGGTATTAATATTTCTAATATTGTAAAGGTATTTTATCGAACCCCAAACCTAATAAAATGTTCAGATGTTTATTAAGTAATAATTCTCTGATACGATCCTCTCATTTTTTATGATTATTATTTCGTCATGAAATCACGTGCTTTTTGACAAACTGTGAACTCTCAAACACTTGACGAAATTGCTTTCTCACTCAGTGTCATCTCAGTGCATTCTTAGATATCTTCAATGTTTGTATTAAAGGTTAAATATGTCAAACCTATATGACAGGATGGTATGAGGGTTAGTGTTTCTGCTTCTAATCCGGCAAACAGGTTTCCCGGATTAGATTTCCGGTGATGACTGCGTACTCGTGCTCGTTTTATGATTTGTTGCATTTCCTAATAAATTGTGAAATTGATGTGCTGCAATAAGTCTAAAATGTTCGGTCAGAGCGTTTTAAAAAAAGAAAAAAAACTGTTTTGTCACAATCGTTGAAATGTTCTCAGACTATTCGTTGAGCTAGTCTAGTCATTGTTCTTATTCAATCGGGCATTAAATATTTTTTTCAGACCTTCATTATTTCGTTTTCTTAAGAGAATTTGCATAACTTCAAATAGTTATTTGCTTCAGAAAAGAAAAATAGTTATAAAGTGCATGGGTTAAACCATCTAACCATGTAATTTGAGACGTTGTCAAGATTTCTTTATTTCCTTAGAACAGTAATATGGTATTTGTGATGTAGAAGTGTTGAAGGTTGTGAGAACTCCTTTTTATAGCTTTGGAAAAAAAATTGGGAGATTACCATCAACGAATATTATTTGAAGGTTAAAGTACGTTCAGTTTCAAATGATGCATTTTTAAAAAGCCATGTTTTTAAAATAATCATTAATAATTCTTTTCCTTTTGGTATTCCAATTTTTGGCATTGTGAGATAATTTTCTTTTCTAATTGCCTAAATACCGTGAATTTGAGATTTGTTGACGTATAGCTGTAGTATAACCAACATTCCTCACCTTTGGTTAATGAAGTGTAAATGTAGAAAAAAACTTATTACCGAAATTTCGTTCAGCATTTCTTTATACTATTCTACATGAGGATTTAATTGCTCAATTCGATGTTGAAAGAGGTAAAATCGAGACTGCCGTGTACAGTACAGTGAATGACTATCATTAGTGTATTTTTGAAAAGTAAATGCAGATGATTAAATGCGTATTTAATATTTCCCCCCTCCATATACACCCTTTGTACGGTTGAGCTCAACTGCAAGGAATGAGGTCTCTTAAGATAGAAATTAAACACTCGATATCCGATTATTAGACCAAAAGATAATACGTATAAGCGATTGATTTCTTTTTTCACTTATGTTCACTGATACATTGTTAGAATTTTCCTTTTAGAATTACGGTAAAATAACCGGCAAGAGTCTCTCCATCCAATCAACCGTAAATTTTACCGCAAGGAACATTTTTTTTACGTTTAGGGTTTTGAAACCGTCGATAACTAGTATGGTTAAAAAAAACATGAATAGAAAACTATACGGTGTTTTAACCATTTACTAGTAGCATGATTTTAAAACCGTAAAAAAGGAATTTAACCGGACATTGGAGCTACGCTTTTTATTAGGTAATGAGCATTGGAGTTAGGTTATGTTTTAATTGCGTTTTATCAAATGAACCGTGGAATGTGTGTTTAATTAGTTTATTTGATTGTTTCACATATCGTAAGAGCTGAGAAGTACTAGACTTTTCATGTTAAGTGGGTTTATGGTGCTGCCATCTATGCGTGAATGCGAGTATCTTTTTCTATTTGTCCAAGGTGACAAACTAGAGGGTGCAGAATGCTTGAAACTCTTCATGTATTGAAAGGAATGGAGGAAATATTGTGATGCCGACGTTGGCACTCGAACCATCATTCTATCGGTCATGAGATTAACAGATAAGCCTTTTCGGCTATAATATGCTTTAACAAACTGCAAGGAACTAAGCGGGTTCATTAGGTGGGCCTAGTTGGTGCGATAAAGTTCCGGTTGTTTAACGGTATTAGATGAAAGTGGTTAATAAACGGTTTTTCTCACAGTTAACAATTTAAATTCCATTTTATTTATGGATATTTGACTGCTTTGTTTAAATATGGTAAAATACATTTAAATAAATTGTTATTTAACCATTTTTTCCGAGAAATTTCTAGCAGTGTACTAACTAAACTCGCCTTTAACTTGATTAAGATTAAACATGTGCTTGAATTCTATTGGCGAAACAATTCTTTTCTCTCTCCCATTAAGTTATATTAGACTCTTAAAATATTAGTAAAACATGATTGGAATTCTATAACTTTTAATGAGCATGTTTTGAATTCGCTTCACAACAATGACAGCAAAAAATAAAAAATTTTGCCAAGGCATACATTTGTAAATTTCATAATAAATATTATGTTACCTGCTTCACTTTTCATATGAATGACTAAGGTAATATGGTCTCCTACATTCACGGGTCCAGTTATCCTTTGACCAGTTGGTCCATATCCATAACGTATTTCCATATGACATTGTGGTGGAGGTAAAGTGAATACCACTGTATTCCCCGTTTTTTCTTGAAATGCACCACTTCTGTAAAGAGAAAAAAATGATCTGCTCACTTTAGAAATATTTTGCTCTTTAATTTAAAACATCATAATTTTGTTAACAGAATTTACTGAATTGTTTCGTCATATGAAACAATTTGAAAACATGATAATATTAAAGTCTAAATATCAAGAACACTATTACTTCAAAATCGCGTACGTGCAATCGGCAAAAAAAATAGTATGCTTAGAATAAAATTAGACTTAATGTATCGAGGATATAAATAAAATTTTGGCTACTTCAATTATTTTTATGTATCATCACCGTGATATTAAGTGGTAAAGCTGTACATTTCTATTACTAATAGAGCTTGAACAATTTTTTTTAAAGAAAATAGTATTTTTTTAATAGTTGAAATAGTTTTGAAATAGTTTTTGAAATAGTTTTTTTTTTTAAGAGAGCGAAAAAAAAATTTTTATCTGTAAAACATTATGTCAAAAAGGATGTGAAGTACTCTTATTATAATGAAAATGGTGTATAAAGTTTGTTCCATCACCCTTAATAAATATTTTAAGAATCTTCAGAACCACATTTCCGTAAAATTTCTTGTCACTTCTTACAAATTAAGGAAAATTGAAAGTGCTATGGAATTTTCACAAAATACTATTAGATGACAAAATCTTAAACTTTTGATGTTCAATCCTTAAATATTTTAATTAATTAATCCGGAATATTAATAAATTTTAAAATCAAAAACAACACCAAACTGCTTCGGAATATATATATATATATATATATATATACGTTTTTTATTTTAATAGATTTTGATTCTTGACCTTCAAAATAACTGACGAAATGAGGTTTCTATAGTATTGCTTAGCCTTTTTAATCCGTTTATTTTTACGCACTTTCCTTTCTCTAGATGTAATGTTTTCGCAAGAATCTAAACATTTAAGATTAAGTGTAAAATATCGTTACCCAAGCAAAACTTCATGTAAAAAAGTAACTTACAATTACTAATTATTAAATAAATGAGAAATTTCATTAAATAAATTCGATGCAAATTAGAAATTTTATTAAATAAATTTGAAATTAAATTAAAAATTAATTTCTGTTTTGCATTTTTATATCATGTAGCTTTGCGTAATCTTAAATTTAAATCATAAAATTTTAAATGAAAAAATCGCAAAGTTTTCGAATATTTTTTTTAAAATTATCCCTTTAATGATAGGTCACAATTTTAATTTGTTTTTCCCCGGGAAATATTGTACGGGTTTATGTCAAGTTTTTTGTTTTGAAATTTATAGCAACATAACACAGCTATTGTTAAATTGAAATTTTTAAAAAATAGCAAATACTTATTGAAATTAATTTTTGCTCAAAATTATCTTTGTGTAACTAAAGTCTTAGAATTTCAATTTTTTTCCAGGTTTTTAATAAATTTTAATGCTTTTTTCTGAATACAGAAAAGTTTGTAAAGTGATGCTTATAAATTTTAATAAAAATACTAAAAAAGCGAAATATTTATACCCATATATTTAGACAAAAAAAACTTTTCAGTTTATTGAGTAGCTTTTTTTTTTATTAATTTTTTTTCAATAGTGATGAGAGAGGAAATAACCATTATTTTGCCGGGGAACAATTTCTCTGATCACGACTTTCTTTTCGAACCACGCCTACATTACTGCCGGTATCTGTACAGCACTTTTAAGAGTACCTTGAAAATCTAATGCAGCTCGTCTAAGATAACATATACCCGTTTATGTCAAAAATTGCTTGCGAGAAAATGTTTGCGATACAACAATTTGAAAAAAAAATCTGTCATGACTAATCTAACTACAGCACTTTCGAATTTATAATAATTACGAAATGAAGATCCAAAAAAAGAAGAAAAAAAAGAAATGCGTAAGGAAAACGGAAAAAAGTTCACTGCTTATCAACACAATATCAAATAAATACGAATTTGAGATAATGTTAAGATTATCCCTTGTAAGATTAGGGTTCTAACAATGCATTTTCAATTTTTTATATTTACAAGATTAGAAGAACAGAAAAAAATTGGCAATAACAAATATTTTTTAACATGAGAAATTTAAAACGGATTCTCTTTTTTTTTGCTTAAATTTTAATTTAAAAAGACTTTTTCGCATTAAAATTTATTAACACATGTCATTTTATCCAAGATTCCTTATTTTCAGACCTTATTTACTCAGTCCCTTATGAAAAGAGGATATCGTTTTTCTTTTTATTGAACATCATGTTTTCAATCTTTTATAAATTGGTTCATAATATTCTTAATAATTAATCAGTCTGTTATACGCTATTAAAATATGAAAATTTTGATAAAATTGTTAATTGGAAAAAACTTATATTGTCTTAGTATATAAATTTTGCAATAGGTATTGCTTAAGTATTAAAATTAACTATACTTTATAATAACAGAAAAAATAATTTAATAACGGGGAACGGGCGTAACAGGGAAAATTATTTTGTGGTTCATGAGTCTGTGCTTCATTAGTCTGTTCTACTTGTTATGGCTCCTTTGATTATATATGTAATATAAATTTTATTTCGAAAAAAAGTAAATCTTTTAAAAAACCTTAAAACTTTTACAAAATATGGATTAAAAATTTATAAATCAGTGATTAAAAACATTCTTATTATCGATGTAAATGAAATTTAGAAAATTACAAAAGGAGATAGTTACATTTATTACCTTTACATCACTTCAGTTGCAGTTTTATACAGAATATAGGCGTCTGATAAAATAGCACCATGCAGTATAACTTAAAGTTTTTTGAATAGCAGTTTTCAAGATCAAGTCAGAAAGCATTGCTGCCTTACTCCTTCGACAATGTCAAATCTTCATTGTAATTGTCATTACTTATTATTTTTAATCTTTTTATTAAATAATGGTCAAAAAGATTGAAAAATATGTGAATTTTACATCAATTTCAAGTAAATTATTTTTAATGACATCATGGGAAGAAAATCAATCGACTTATTGTTGATAAATAAAAATGGAAAATCAGACTTTCGGAAATGTTCTAACTGTTCTGATATTTCGTTCATTGAAATTTTAAAACTATCTTACTATTCAATTTTTTTGCCGTTATAAACTAAACTAATAAAAAGAAATATTGATATTTTTTTCTATGGAATTATCGATGTATAAACGAGTTTTATAATTGTGTGCTCATAAAAATTTCCAAGGCCGGGCGAAATACACAAAAAGTGAAAGTAACATTTAAGGGGCTCGATTTTTGACCTCTTGGCAAAACTACTAAGACTTGATTTCTTTTTTCTTAACTTAGCCATTTACATCTTTTTACAGACTAGGTGTGACAAAAAAAAAGTGAAAAAAAATGTGTGAATTTTCAGAAAAAATGTGTAGTGTCTGATTCTGTAATTTAATAAATAGTCAGCACTTATTAATTCGTATAGTTGAAGCTTACTGTTTGAAGCATTTAGATTGCAACTTAGTTTAAAAATCTGGCCGTTAGAAAAAATGTTATTATTGGTGATATTTTCTTATCACTACGAAATACATACTAACACATAACAATTACAGTGAAATATAATTATTTCGCTTAAAAGTCAATATGTCTTATCTACATATATCTTAAGGTATAAGCAATCTAGAATTTCATTATTTCAAGCTGAACTGTTTTTTTAATAACCATTTATGTTCAAAAATTAAAGAAAAAATATATAATAGAAAAAAATATAATATTCCACTTATAACGATTATTGGTATATTTTTAACACTTTTACATAAATTTCAATTTAAAGTCCTTAGATGTCTTGAAAATGATAAAGGTTATTTTAAGTGTTCTCTAGTGTTTGAAATATATAATAAATACTTACTCGACGTTCATCATTGGAAAAGTTACTGTTTTCCAAAAGTCATAACCATATTCGCATGTAACTCTGAAGTGTTCATCAATATCTTCCTCAATTACAGGATTATATTGAACAGTTAAAGTGTTCACTAAATACTGGGCTCGAACGTGTCTACCCTATACAAATAAGTAAATATATGATAATAAGTAAATATATAATAATAAGTAAATATATAATGATAAGTAAATATATAGTAATAACTAAATATATAATAATAAGTAAATATATATAAAATAAATATTTATACGTGACGCAAATGAATGTGACACGAATGAATGCATCATAAAACTGAACTAGTGAAGTTATATAAAGTTAGATATTGGTAAAGTTGTGTGGCAAGGACAGTTCTGAAACCATATTTCTGGTTTGTAAAAACCAAATATACGGTAATTAAACTATTTAATTTTGTAATTATTACGTTCATATAGCAACGGTTTACCAGAAATTTTGGTTTTCAAATTTACAGTTCTTATTTCCACTCATTTAGTAAAATATACAAAACCGAAAAGCGTCCCTTCTCCTTATTCGAGGCTCATTTCTTGGCCATTTTTTATGCCCACTGTATCTCAGCTGTCCTGATATAACCAGACCTCTTGCCTCACTAAAAGCAAAGTATCAGAGCCCATTTCGAAATTTTTTCATTGTGTTGTACTGATCCAGTCAATAAAATGCTTTTAAATCAACTCAACTACATTTCCCCCCGGATATCTGGAAGCTGAAAGTAGATATATGGAATATATAATATGATGATACCTATAATTTACACTACATTAGGTTCTGAAATTAAATTATTTTTTGCCATTGTATTAAGATTTAAAAAATTTTGATATTCGAGCAACCATATATTTAAGGCCTTTTCTTTTCTTAAATCTGTAAGTTATGCTTAGTTGGATAAAACGGTTTAGGTCCCAACCCTTTTCACTTTTATTAAATTTTCTTCAAATCCATAAAATAGATACTAGAAATTCAATTTCCAACAAATGACAAATTGATAGTTTTAAATTTTTCATTTTAGAAAATTTTCATACTTTAAACTTAGCTATAAATATACTGTATATTGCTTTTAGAAGTAAAATTACCTCGCTTGATGGATCTGACACATCCTGTTGGCCAAGAGTGCCACAACGATTCAGTCGGATGATAAACTCGTATTGATTTCTGCCAGAACCATTAACATAACTACAAGAAGAATCTTGAGCATATCCAGAGCTGTAAATTAATCCATCAAATGTTCCATTGAACCGAACTGTCACTTTCATGTAACTATCAAAGCAATCAGCTTTTACATCTGTGAAGAAAAAAAATTATAAATTAATTATAGATTTTTATATAATTTTAATATGAAGATCAAAAGGGAAGAACAGTTTATGTCCATTTTTTACTAAAATGACGATTGGATCACTATCTGTTGCCTTTTGAGGATTACCAAGTTTTGACAAATCAAGAATTTGAAAAATCGGTTATGCCTGAGAATTAAAGATGAGTCGTGTTTGGGAAAAACGGTTCCTGTCCACGCGTAGATAAGAAGAACTAAGAAAATGCACAGTAAAAATTTTTAGATAACCTTAACACCAAAAAATGGTGGCAACAGTACACCAACATCTTTTACAATGTAGTTACTAGTTTCTCGCATGCGCGAGTAATTTCTCTGAATTGCTTAAAGTGAAAGTCGAAGCACTAGGAATTGCCACCCATTGTGAATGCTGGAACAAGATTCACTTGATTTATGAAGACACCTATCAAAGACGCAGTTTATCTCTAATAGGTGGAACGAAACTGTCAAATTGTCTCAGTCTCAATGATTAACTTCTTTATGGATGCTTAAAAATTGTTCTTTTGTAACTGGAATGTGATTACCGTTAAGGGATAATATGTTTAGTAATGATCAATTAATGATTCTGATGATGACTGACGGTCAATTTTGGAGCTCCTTGCTGTTTATCGCTTATAGATTACTTATCAATTATGTTAGGGTGAAGTGAATGGTTGGATGTATTTCACAGTAGATGATCAATTAAAGTCATTCCAAGATAGAGATGAAAAAGCGAAAATTTGACTAAAATCCACATTGTAATGAAATTCATGCTAGATACGGGTGATCATTGTTCGGAAATCGCTGTTTAGAAGGTTCACCATATAGTAAATTCTATGGAAGATGTTCAGTTCAGTAAAAATATTATCATTTTTGAGGATATGCTGTTGTTTAGAGGAGACCATTAAAGTAGATTTGACTATATTATGAAAATTGAATGCGATAAATTTTTTTATGTAAGCATTTCACTTTTTAAACCTATAAAATGTTTAAAAAAAAGTGGGTACAACACAAATCAAATTTCTAATAGGTGAAGATATTTTAACTGTTGAATATATTTAAACTCTAAGTGAGAAAATTGTTAGAACTGAATTGATTAAACTGCATTAAACAATTGTGTTCAATTAACTTTTTTTTCTTTTTTTTTTTTTTGCAAGCATTACATTTTTGAAGCCTATAAAAAGGGAAAAAAAATAGAAATATAATTGTGAGGACGTCTCATAACTCGAGTAAGACTTCTAATAAGTGAGAATATTCCAATATTTAAACATATTTTAATTTAAGAAATACACGTTTTTAATGTTTTATTATTTTTTTACGAAACTAAAATAACTTTACAGTGTTAATTAAAAAACTGAGAAAGCCAGGTAAAATTATCAATTTCTAAACCAGGAATTGGTCTTTATATAAAATTTGAACAGGTCTTTAAAAGATTAGCATGCATTGTTCAAGACTAAGAATGCTAAAAGAGTTGGCAGTTGATGAAATATTAAATATAAAGGGTGTAACAAAAATAACAACTCATTTCATGGAATAAGTAAACGAACATTTTTTTTCTGTTTTACAACTTTTCTGTGATTTTCTGACCGAACGAGGCACCTCCAGATTTTACTCACACTCTATGCGATTATTTTAAACAAATCAATGCATAGAGCAAGGTAGTATGACGAGATACTTTAGTTATGCGTACCTAGATTCACTACTTTCATGCCTTGGGATATTTTTTATTTTAAAATCCCTTGTGTGCTTAGTCAAGTTAATATCTTCTAAAATACTCAAGGGATGGATCATTGCTTCTTTTGTAAAATCGGATACCAGTTTCGTGTCTGTGTTGAACGTTGCGACTCCATAGTTATATTAAGGGATGCCATGTCTAACTACAATATGAACTGTAGTAGACCTGTGATTGTGTTTGTGGAAATAAAGTTCCTTTTCCTTAAAAAAGTAGTTGTTTTTTAAACACCCAGTATAAAGTTGTTGGCATACAGACATCCATTAGAAACAAACAGGCATTCATTACATTTTCGAAGAGAAAAAAAGGTTATGAGTCAAACGGGATAAAGTTCATCCTAGGTTTTGAATGATCACTTTTTTCAAAAATTGTAACTGATATTTTTCGCTGTTTAAAGATTAAAAGCAATCCTACTTTTTTTAAAAAGAGATACTATAGTTTGAAAATCAATTATTATAAGGTTATCACTTATTATAAAGCATAAAACTTAACAGTTTTATTAAAAAAATCATATTAAGGATAGTTATTTCTCAGGAACTATTTGCAGGATTTATATTACATATTTTGGATTTAGACATTTAAAACTACGTAGTTAAACATAACACAAACAAATGTGTACATAAAAATTAAAAGTATAAATCACACACACATATTTTTTTTATTAAATTGAATAATATTAAATAATTATAAACAAAAACTTTCCTTGAAATTATTTTTGGTTAGAGAGTTTTAAGAATTTAAATAATTTGTTTTCCTGCTTTAGAATCCCTTTCATTGAATTATGACGAGGCACGTAAAAATTAAAAAACTATATTAATTAGCTTTATAATTTTTGATCTCTTAGCTATAGAATATTAAATAAAATAATAAATATACATTAAAAATAATTTTTACGTGGAATTATCCTTGTCTAAACAACTATTATAATTGCATGTAAAAAAATTTCAATTCACTTAAAAATTTCTAGAAATGTGGCAAAATACGCAAAAAGTGAAATTAGTATTGAGAGATCCAAACTTTCGAAAACTCTCTTGCCTTTACTTATGAGATCAAATTTTCTAGATTACAACTCCTCCCCATGTTTTGAAGGTTGAAATTCCGAATCCCTCCCCAAACAAAAAATAAGAATATGATTTTTCAGAGAAAGTATGTTTTTGTGTATGATTTCATAACTTAAAGTAGCGCCTAGACTAACTAATTAACCTGTTTGAGACCACACCCTCGAACCATTAAGGGGTCCTAGCATGTGAAAATCCGAATATTAGATCAAAAGTTATTTGGAGTGTCCACCTTTTTTGCGCACAATACATGAACTTAAAAAAAGTACTTTTTGTAACTGATTTTAGAACTTCAGTTATTATTCTATCATTTTAGGAGAAGCACCAGCTTATTTTGTATCATATCGTAATCTTAAAGCTATCATTTAAGTGGAATAGTCGTAGCTGTTCAGCCGGCCGAAGACTCCCCGTGTTGTAAATGGTGACTGATGCACGTTAAATCTGTCGAGTCTCAAAGTCATCCATGTTCCCATAACAAATCAATACCTCTGGGGTAATAATTCAGGTAATAATTCTGGCACCAATAATTCAGGTCAAAATTACGATCTGTGGATGAATGAATGGATGCATGAATGGATCCACCCTACAAACGGGTGTGACGTATGAGGGTGGCAGAAGTCGAATTCTTGGCCATAGATGGCACCACTGGAAAACAAGGACAATCGCACCCCCTCTGCCTTAATTACATACGTCAACAACAACAACAGTCATAGCGGTTTTCTAAAAAAGGCCTTTTTCTTAAGTAAATTTATGATTCCGTTGACAAATAAAAACATGATGATTTATTTTCCCTTCATTCTGTATATTTAAGCTAAACTTAAAATATATTTAGTTAACGAAATAAATTATTTTTAATTAACGAGTGTGTTTTTAATAATATAATCCTTCTCTTAGAATACATCTATAAAGTACGGACTCTTTCGATTTTTATTCAATTTAATAAAGTTAAGCAGAATGTACATTATTCATGTAGCTTTTGCTGCATGTAGCTTTTTTTTAATATGAAATTAAAAGAGTCCATAAATAGTATAAATTATTTTAAAAGCCGGGTTTACCATTTTATAATCATAATGTAAAACTATAATTTTAAAAAAAATATCCCGTTTGAAACGAAAATTCCGTTAGTTATCCTCATGTTGTTAATTAGCAAGTAAATCGGGGGGAAACTAAATAAGTTACCGAATTTAGTAGAAAGAAAAACTTTGGTTTTAGGAAAACCCCATTTAAAGTCTGAAAATGCTATTTTCATCGTTTAAGTTACTTGAAAAATGTTCTCGAATATTTTTATCCTGCTAAATATAATAAAATAAAATATTTTTTTTAAAACATAAAAAGTTTCAAATAGTTTCCACCCTAACATAGATTTTTATGTTCGATACTATTGGGACATCTTTATAATTAGCTAACTGTTTTTAACATTTTTAGCTTATTTCAAATTTTTCTTTCTTGTGTTTGAACATCGTTATCTAACTAACCATTTTTATACTTGTTTCGTATGACCAACATTATTCAATTCTATTTCAACTTATACACGTTTAACTATAAATTTCAAAAAAGCAAAAGTTTTTCTGTAAATGAACTTAAAAAGCTCCACCACGATTAAGGCGTTTTTCTTTTTTTCTTCTCTTTAATGAAAATTAAAAAAATCAAAAAAGTAGCCGTTCCTAAACATTATCACACGAGCAAATATCCTTAGTTTTTGCTTTCTCGTTACAACGAATTTCAACTAAATGAAATTTTATTTAATATTTTTTGAGTACTTTAGAAATAATTTTAAATGCATGAACGAGGAATTAAGGATTCTCATACTTACATTCAACTTTTGTTAAATTTCCATAATGTGTTACCAGTCCTGGTGAGAATAATTCCTCTGTATTATTATCAACCTCATCATTGCCCTGAAGTGGTTCCTTTAAAACATTATTTGGACTAGAAACATTTTGATGATTTATTGCAATTTCAGTTTTGTTTGGCACAAGCGAAACTGTATTATCAACAAAGTTTGGTCGGCTTGTAACTGTTGTATCGTTCTTTTCTGACAAATTAGTCGGTTCTTTATGATCTACATCATCTACTATAGTAAAATCATAATCTGCTCTAGAAATTTCACTATCATAGCTTAAGTCACTATTTGGGGCTAAACCACTTTTGTGAAGAAAACTGGCTTCATTCCATGAGGTGGATGGAGATTTAGAATAATCAGGTCTGTAGGGTTTTCCAAAACTTATCTGAGAATAGCTAGGGCGATTATAAGTTGGTCTGTATGGTCTTGAAGTCGGTGATTCTGTACTCACAAATGTCCTATTTTTGTATGATGGTCTTGAATACGTATAACTGGGCTTAAATGACAATAGGTGAAAATCTGGATCTGGTCTCGCTGGTCTTGTAAACTCAGCATCTTGTCTAATTACTGGTGTACGGTAATCAGGAGTAGGTCTGTAATACGGATATTGATGCAAAGGTGTGTCTGGTCTGTAAGGCCTAACAAGGTCGAGCTCAAGACGATCTGTATAACCAGGATCTGGTCGTGCTGGTCTTAATCTTCCTTCTGTCTGCGTACTTTGTAATTTTACAATTCTTTTAGGGTTTCTGTTTACTTCAATAGAATATATAGATTCCAATTCAGATGTAGAAAAATTTTCTTCATTTGAAGAGTCTGAAAGACTTTTTTTAAAGTTATTTGAAGCACGGGTCTCTGCAGATCCAGAGTAAAATGCATCTTTAACCATATCATCATCATGTCTATCAGTATTATAATTGCCTGTAGAGATTTTGATAGAATCTGATGATGGATGTGCAGATAAAACAGGTTCCTTGTTATATGCTTCTGATCCTTCAAAATCTACTGAAAATCTTTTGTTATTTTCAAGAGAAGTAAATGGCTCATTTTGTGACAGGATCTCTAAATCTGTTTCATTACCTTCCCTTTCATGTAAATCAAAATTCTGTTCTGTTGCTTCCTTTGATACATCTAAGTCATGACTATTATTATCAGTTTGTTCTGCATTATAAAACGCATTTTTGGTTGTAGCATTTGTGGTAGATTGTAAGTGAGCATTTGAGATGAAATCTGTCGTTGTAAATGTACTCGTATTAGTTATTACATTAGTTTCAGTGGAATTGACTACTTCCGTTGTCAAGTTTTTGAGGTTTTCCTGTTCTTCATTATGAGTCACTTTGGTTGAATTCTCATAGTCTTCTACACTAAAATATCGAAGTGTATTGGGTTCAATTACTGTAAAATTTTCTCCGTCTTTTTTAGATATACCAGAATTCAATGTCGTTCCAGTTTTAGCTTCTAATTCGAAAACGGTACGAGTTGTAACGATGGGTTCTTCAGAAAGAGTAGAGTTTCCATAAATCCCTTGCTGTAAATAAAAATTGTAAAATTATACAATTGCACTAAAAAAATCTGTCGAGCCAAAGCCGCAGATTAAATCTAATAATCACTTTAAAAAACGTTTTAGAAGTGATAAATTTCTGATTCTGTTTCAAATGGGTAATTTTATAAAAAAACTTAAAATTGTAATTTTTGATGTTATTGTATAATGCTAGAATTTTATTTTTCTTTATTTTTAAAACTTTTCTGTTAATAGTAATTTTTTAGAAATCATTTGAACATGTTAAATTAAAGGAATAAAAGTGAAAAGTGAAAGTGAAGTAAAATGGGATAAATAATGACTTAATTTTTATAATTGGTGGTGTAAAATTTTTTAAACTATTAAGGAAGTAGCTATAATTTATTCACAGTTTTGTTCAATTTCAATGGAAACTTAAAGGCAGTTAAAATAAACCATATTTCCAATGAAATAAAATCAGATGTTAAAGTAAAAACCTCTGATTTTCTTCTGATTCAAATTGGCACAATAAAGTTTGCGACAAATTTGAGTAAGACATTATGCTAGATTAAACATATTTCTTTATAAGCAAGCATATTAATGGTGATTCATAGAGTGCATTTGTATATTTTCAATATTAAAACTAAATTTTTCTCTCCAGAAAATAAAAAGTAAGAATATATTAATTATTGATATTACACATCAAATTAAATGCATTATATTAAATAGCAAACAAATTAAAGAATTAATTTATAAATATTAAAATTTGATTATACGTTATTAAAATAGTAATTTTTTCTCAAAGCGCTTTAAATTTCCTTGCTTGGAAGCTAACTGTGATTCTAAAACATTTCACTAAATTATTACGAAATAGTTTTCGAAAACAACTTAGAAATTTTTTTATTTTTTCTATAGCAGCGCATCTGTTTTCAATAAAACGGAGCCACAAGTGTTACTTGATTAAAAATTTCAGAAATATGCAAATTGGAAATGGGCTCTTAAAAGTAGGCTCCCATTTTCTAGACTTATCAGACGTGAATAAAAAGAAAAAGTGATTTGAAATCTGAATGGTAAAGTTGTTAAGCGAAAATGGAAAAACAAAGGTGAGAAATAAAACTTGAAAAACCAAAGTAGTTGAGAGAAAAAAAAAGATGTAAAGCAAAACTAGAAAAACCACAGTAACCGAGAAAGACAAATCAGGGTAAAATGCATTTCCACGTGCTATGGAGTATGGAGAGGTGGTTAGGAACTAATGTTGTTAATAAGAAAATCAGCATTCATATGAATAAAGAAAGATTCTAGGACACCAAGATGATCTGTTGCGATATATGCTGAGCTAATAAGTGGTTGCGTGCTATTTCAAGGGTAAAAAGGAATGAAATTTGTACTTACTTGTGTTTTACGTTCTTAGCTGTGCACTGTCAATTAAGTATAATCTTTGAGTTTTAATTTTACTTACCTTGTTAATATATTCCAAGTCTTAAAAACGTGTGATAAAAACTTAGAAATATGGAGGTAATAAATACAGTATAATTCTCGAATGGAATGAATAGAATAAATTAAAAATAATTGCATAATCATTGATACTTAATTTAAAAGTTTACTATTTTCAGAAACTATTTTATTTTCTATTTTTTGCTTCATTTGATTTTATAAAAAATATTTACGAAGAAAATATTTTAAAATTTAAAAACATGCAATTATGAGGATTCTAATTTTACTGAACATATATTTCCTTTTAAATAATAAATTTACCAAGGAAAGTGGGATTTAAACTATCACTTTCACTCAGAATTCCTTTGCACAAATGAAAACTCCAAATTTACTACATTTTTGACAATAATCACTGAAACAATCTTAAAAGTGCAATATTCATATACTGATTAACTTGGCTGAAAATTTTAATTTGTGATTATAAGATTTGTAAACATTTCAGCTAGTTATTTTCATCTTATTTTCAAGAACATTTTTGTTTTAGTTTTAAAAAAAAATTCATTATATTAGTCTAGAATTAAGTAAATTACGACAGTGAAACGAAAGCTCAAAACTCACTAAAAGAGTATTGTGATGTATCATTAAAAAAAGAGTTTAAATGCCAAATATATGACTATTTATAAGTATTGTGCATATAAACAGCCTTAATTAGCCTAATATGTATAATATATAACATGATTAAAATGTTTATATTTACAAAAAGAAGCAACAAGCATGTCCAAAGGATCCAATATTCCATATTTGGCCTTGAGTTTATAATGATCTAAAATGGAAAAAAAATTCTCAGTAAATTTTAAGAATCTATTTTAATAAAACGTGTGAAACAGAAATTACATTTGTATTATAATATCATTAGCGCTTCCAAGTCCGATTGGAGGAGACAGAATGGAAGAACAATTTTCCAGGACTTAAGTACTTTGATTGGAAAGAATTGCTCGACTGCTTAGTTTAAAACTTAATGTGAACAAAAATATAACTCGAATGATAAAATGAATAATATGGTAATTATTTAGAGTATAACTAAGTACAAAATTTATTTGATACATTAATTATCCCCACGGATAAAAAAATATGGTTAAAATCACTAGAATATGAAATTTGCGTGCGTCTGACTCTTTTGGATCACGAAAAAGCTCGACAATTTTTCCCGAAGCACTTAGATAATGATTTTGGTAAAAACAACGATGAAATATGGTTTTCTAATCTGTGATAAAATTTGATAAATGTGGTAAAATTATGGGAATTTCCTTATGACACCTTACAATCCATAAAAACCATTCATATGATTAAATTTACTTTTCAGTTTCGTATTTTTTATTAAATTTGTAGTAATAAGAATGGAAATGAAAAAATTTCTAAATAAATGGGAGGATATTTTCTTACTTAATAACTAAGAGCTTTTTTTTTCTTACATAAATGTGGGTAACAGTGATTGATGAGATCGGGGAGTGATTTTCGTTTTTGCGTTACGCGTTCGTTCATTTGATAATTTCTCATCGAGTTATTTGTAGTTATTTACACATAATTTGTATAGGCTATTACTTATAAGTCCAAAAGTTCAAGTTTACGTCCAATTCTTTACGGCAGGTAAAATTTTGAAAATCTCACCCACATTCACACCAAAGAATAAAAGACTAACAAAATCAAATTAAGTTTAGGTATTAAGCTAAATATACTTCTTTTTATAAATCAGTCGCAATCCCAAAAATGTTTAAACATAACATCACAAGAAAAAAATGGCTCCATAAAGGGTTAAATTAAGTGCCAAAATTTATTTAAATATAAAATGTAGTTTTAAAATAAAATACCTTTAATTTTAATCGTACGTAAAAAACCACAGGCGCGGAAAAATTACCAAATTAATTAACCATATACTTTCGTTTTATTACAATAATTATGTTTTTTTTAAATCAGAAATGTCAGTGCTATACAGTACGGTAATTTTGCACGATTTTTTCTTCCGTGTTGAATTCAGTAAAAAGTTTAATAAAATAACAGTCAAAAGTTTGCTCTTAGAAAAAATCCATCGAACATTTCAACAACTGATTCGGCAGCTCTACATATCATTAGTAGAAAGGAAACTAGACATTTTTACAAGCAGAAAGATGCTATTAAATATAGCTTGCATCAGTTGCTTCTAATTTAGCGCAAAATAATAAGCTCTGTTTCACTTGAGTAAAAGTAAAAATCAGCAAACTTTTAACATAATAACCTTTCTTGTTATTTTTACACTTTCTTAATCCCACGAGGGCACCGGAATAAGCCCCGACAATGTTTACAGATTAAAGAATTAGGTACTAATTATTTTTGTAAAAACTTCTATAATTAAAACAAGAACTACCGAAGTTGCGTTGACTACACTTAAGGTTTTGTCCCTTTTCGAAACTTATTTCTGTTATGTAACTATTTTAGGGAGTCTGTAGCTTTTTTTTCTCGGATATTTCTTAGTAACTGCACTGATTAGAGTCAAAAATACCAGAATATAATAAAATTTACTGCGGTTTTGGCTCTATAGGAACACCAAAAAGGATGGTAATATTTACCGAAGCACTTTGTTAATGATTTTGGTAAAATTAACATTAAAATATTGTTTTATGTGTGTTGAAACTTGGTAAATTTTTCAAAATTTGGTAATTTTATCATGACACCTTAAAGCATGGCATAAAAACCATTTATTCGGTTAAATTTACTTTTTAATTTTTGTATTTTTTTCTAAATGTGAGGTAATAGGAGCTATAATTTCGAAAACTAGAATTTCTGGCAAATCGTTACCATATGATTGGTTTAAATACCGTATATTTTGGTTTCCTTACTAGAATTGTCGTTTTTTTTAATCAGAAATGTATACCAGTAATTTTACTAGAATTTTTCTCTCCATGTGCTTTAACTAAAATTATATTTTTATCAGATAATATTGAGTTGTGATAAATTAATTCTGAAAAATAATGTATTTTTTTACTCAATTATTCAACAAATAAAACTAAGCTACGTTTTATTATAAAAATTTACCTAATTTTAGTTTTTATTTCAAGTTTAACAAAGAACTTTTCTGTTTTTTTAATAAACAAAAATGTGTCAAAAAATTAAAAATATGTTTTAAAAATAAATTAATTTTTCTTATTAAATATTATCAATTGTTCAGCAATAATTTTATTTGACTTTTGCGTGATGAATTTCGCTTTACAAAACTGGTAACGCCTTCAACTGAAATCCCGAATGAGCAGTTTTAATTCAATATTATAAATCATAATAAATGCATGAACCAATTTCCTCATAAATTGAAACATATAATATGTTTAAATGAATTTTAATCTAGCACATATAGTAAATTATATATTATTCAAAATATTCAGAAACATAATATTAGCACTTCATAAATGCTGTTATATATCTCTTTCTGAATTTATATGATAACGCTTAAGAGTTAAGTTAATTAAATAGTGTAACATCATATGAAATAGAGCTTTTGAGCATATTCAGAGCCATAGTTTAAGCATATTACGCTCTATGATTATAAAATTTACAATGTTTGTAAATAATTAATTGATAATTGTCTCGGTTGTCTTTATTAATAGTGAGTAAATTCAAATACGCTAATTCCTAAACACGCCAAATTGAAAGAAAAAAAAACATTAATTTGTTCAACTTTCGCTATAAAAATTATTAATTTTTCGCTATTTTTCAATGTGCTTTTATGTTTAAAACACATTGAAAAACATTGAAACAATAAATTTAGTTGCATTTGCTGTATTTGTCTCGTTTAAGTAGCAAGAATTTAAGTGTTTGCTTTCTTCTCCAATTTTTTTTCAAATTGTTTTTCTTTCAACTTTTTCTCATCTACGAAGAAGCCACTCTTATTTTATCGAAGAAGTTAGCGCACATTATCCAAAATCCCATCTTTGACAGATACACATTTGCTACATCGGGTATTAAACTTTTTTTTCACATTCTTTATTTCAACTAGTAATATAGCCAGATGCAAGACACATGTAATGGATGTGTTACTAGAAGTAAAGGAACCTATAGATAAATAATTTATGCATGAATATGTTAAATTTTTTTGATGTTTGTATCATTTTTCTGATAACTTTTACCTACTTTTTACTTAATACAAATTTAATACATATGGCTTTGAACCATTAATAAAAACTTTCTGGATTTCAAACAATAGAGTTCAGATACAGTATTATTAAGAAGCTTTCATATAAGTTTTGCACTTTCCACTGAAAAAACAACTCTTTTTAATTTTTAAAAGGAATCCAGCAGATTTTATTCCTTAGTTATGTGCTTCGTTATGAAGATTAAGTAAGAAATGTGTTGTATGTAGTTTCTTTAACTTCAAAATTAGGCTTGAATAAGACCATATATTAGGTTTTAGACACGCTGTTGAGCTAATTCATACAAGGCTGTGAGGAAAGTTTTAACGAGAGATTAAAGAATCTGTAATGCATAACTCAACGTAATGTAAAAAAATAACATAAGGATCAATTTTAAAAAAATAGATTTTACTTAGTTAATCGGAGTATAAAAATGTAACGATTATTATAAACTCAGTATAAAATTAAATTTTTCTCAGTTAAGATTCAGTAATGAGTGAAAATAAAGGAAAACGCAATTTTTCTTTCGTAAAAGTGTTAAAATTTTTGTATTAAGCATTGAATCTTTAGTTAGTCATATTTCATCTTTTTAAAGTGTCCAACTAGTTTGAATACAGTACTGATTTATATTTGAGTTTATCGACAATTTCATTTATATTGAAACATTAGTAAAAAACATTCAATCATTTTTAATAAACCTCTGCTGCATTTAAATAACTGTTTTTAAATGTATAATTGTATAACTGCAAATGTATGAAACAAATTTAATTACAATTTCAATGCTTCGCTATTGCAGTTTTACAAAACGTTTAGCATTTGTAGATGAAAAAAATTAGTGCGATTTTTTTTAATTTTATATTTCCCTAATTACATTATACTCATTAGTTTTGAGAATGTTAATTTAAAGTCACGACATTTTTTTTGTTTTATCAAATTTCAAAATTGCGTTTATAATGTATTTAAAAATAATAAGTACGCATTAAAGGCTATTTTAATATCTCAACTATCTAACTCTTTCAAGCAGAATCTCGCCATATGTACTACTACTTTAGGCTAAAAAACATCATTATTCTCTTATTAAAGCTGCCGTGTTAGGAATAAAAGCAGTAGAAAGCTAATTTGAGAATCAAACAAAGAGAAAGTAAAATGCACCACCGCTATAAAGTTGATATTACCTGAAAACAAATGTAACTTATCACCTTTTAAATGTGAGAGGCGAATATCCTCCGTATGTGGCTCTGCAAGTTCCAGAGAAAACATTTTATGTATTCACCGAGGTTAAAGGTTAATTATTTCACAGAATGTTTTTTTTTTTATACAAAACTTTAGCGCGTAATAATCGTGTTTAAGTTCGGTCACTGTAACGATGCTTTCTGAGTAAATTGAAATGGAATTTTATGCCGCTTGATATGTTACTGCACGATAGTTTGTGCGCGTGTTAAAAGGAGTGGAGGATTTTTTTAAACTCGCGTGGAAATGTGTAGAGTGATATGCAATTCAATTGAAAACACTTGTTCCTCGGGAATTAATTTAACCAGTAAAATATTTGTATTAATAAACATAATGTGTGGAAAATATTTCATTCATGGTAAATTATTATTATCATTTTGAATTGATCAAATTTTTGTAAATAAAAAATTATCAACAGAATGAATGTATAGTTAAT